ACCGGCGAGGCTGACAATTTCCAAATTTGTAGTACATTCTTGTATTCTCTATCTCCTTTTAAGGTTTTTTGTGCGTACAATTCTATCACAATCTTTCTTTCAGATACATCCATGTATTCCCTCCGTCAAAAAAAGTTCTCTATCAAAACATGACCGCCTCCGGCACTAGCATTATACATGTAACTGGGTGTCCATGTATTTTTGTGGTCGAATGCATCATGTGCAGAACTGATGCAAGCTTTGGCTTGCCATGGGACGTTGTGATATGACTGATTGGGTCAAAACAAGGTATGAAGAATGATAATTTTACCCTTCATAATCTACAAGAATTATTTTTTTCGTGGCTGCAAGACAGTATCAAAATGGTAGGGCAGTGTCGTAAAAAAAGGTTTCATTACAAAAACGCGAGCCAGATAAAACGCCTACAACACATAAAAAACAGCCAAATCCCAAACCTCTTCTTGGAGAGTACCCCCAGGCTTGTATGTCCCTGTAACTGTACATACGTACCGCGGCAATGCGCGCGCCCGCTGAGAGTGATATAAGCGGCCTAATCACCCTCCCACGCACACACACAGGGGAGATAATGAAATTGCTCCAGTAGAAATCTCAGGGATCAATATTTTTGCGGTCTTTGTATGAATCCGTTCTAACTGATACGCGCCGCGACGCGCTACACAAAAGACGGGGTGTATTTGGTGCATATAGAGGCTTACACGCCAGTGATACCTACCTGATGCGATACGCTTCATATCATAAAGAGGAAACCTTGAAGTGAATGCATAATAAAGCAAGCGCGCGTGTTCGGTGGTTATATCAGCCTTATTTAGAGCCGAGATGGCTCCAGGCGTCGGCAACTACCAAAGGAGATACGCCGTAATAGGCGGTCTAAAATATACGGGGTGGAATTATACTAACAGTAAAATACAGTCAACCCGGAAAACAAACGCATAGAAGCGTAGTAGAAATGTGCATGCATAATATACGACTGATCGTATATGTGAGCAATGATACGAAATGTATACGGGATGGAATAACACTTACCGTAAAATACAGCAACCAACCAACGCGGAAAAACATGATATAGAAGCGTAGTAGAATATGCATGCATATACGACCAATCATATATATGTGTGTGCAATGATACGAATATGTATTTGTAAATGTTATTCTAGATCTTATATCTTTTTCATCAGCTCGGTATAGTATATTTTACGATTCTTATATATGCGTTCAAAATATTGTATGTAATCATGAGATTTTTCGGCAAAATAAAGAAAACGTGGACATACCTTTTAAGAAACAGGAAGCTCTCTCTCACTATCGGAATCCGCCAGCGCTGTGCTGCTTTCTCCCGTGACATCCGCGTGCGGTTTCCATGTTTCAGACGAGCTGGTCTGCCCTACAACCGATCCAAACGTCTTGGTGATGTTCTAAACTGGTCGTGCGCGAGTCGGGAGCTTGTGTACCGCTCTGCACGGCTGCTCGGTACCCAAATGAACGTGTCGTCCTGCTGCAGGCGTATTTATAACTGCGCGGAGGGCCGAAATGCGATACGGCTTCCACCGCGCTCAGCTGTTCAGCTGTGAATGACAGAGCGGAGTGCGCATTTACATGTAGGTGGGCAGGGACAGGGTAATACTGGGGTTCCCGTAACCTGTACCAGGCACCGCGGATCTCTGGAAAAATACTAGTACTAGAAATTGGCCAAAATAAATGAATAATAAACCAGGGGAGGTAGCCGGCCAGAGAAGATCCAATTCGCGAACTGGATCTTCTCTGGGCGGTTACCTCCCCTGGTTTATTATTCATTTATTTCGGCCAATTTTTCTACTATTTTTCCAGCGATCCGCGGTGCCTGGTAGAGGCTAGGGTTCCCGTACACGGATTTAAATTGAGTTTGGGTAATGTGTCTAAGCATTTATAAAAAAAAGAAGACAAAATCAAAATAGCTCTATGGCTTTGTCATTGCATCATTGTTAACTTGCACTATTGTACTGTCAGTTTATTCTTTCTTTTCACGTACGCAGATTTAAGCTGACATAGTTTGTCTATATAAAATATTTCCAATCAAAGAAGGCAAACCCCAAAAAAGCTTAGATTGTATATATTCCGTAGTTCTTAGAATAGTCGCTTGTTGCACGTGTTACCATTGTTATAACCTGCACTGTCTGTATACTATATATTCCCAGGGAGATTCTTTCATATTGTTTCATGTTGTAATAATTAGCCCCCAGGCAAGAACAAATAAACGTGTTGTTGTCAAATCGCGCTTAAACTTACCTAATCTTGTATCTAAGGATTTATTTGGAAGACTTTCTGTTGTAATTATTGCATTTCAAATTGATATTAAGGAATATTAAAATAAGATAATATCTTAGGGATCCTTCATGGATTACGAGAAACAGTAATGACATATAGATGGTAAAAAAATAAGTCATGAAATGTAAGAACATATGAAAGAATATTCATGGAACAAGAAGCGTCCTGGGGTAATCCAATTAACGATTTACTGGCGAATCGATACTGACAATACATCATGTCATTACGATAATTGTCTATTGGTAAACGGACCGTGGCCGTCGGCTGTGTGTGTCTGGACGTAATGACACTCTGAAAAATTGATGTTTGCCAGGGGGAAAACGTACACAAAGAGGGGAAAGCGAAGTGACAGATATCAAAACAGAAAAGTGATACAGAAATGCATACGATATTTTCACCACCACATGCCAATGCATGTATTCAACACTTCACCACGATCCTTTCGTATCCTGCGCTAGAATGGACCGTTCCCAGTTGAACTCGTCGAACCCCCGGGCCTTGTTCTATTTCGAACACGTCGAACCCCTTGTTCTATTTCGAACACGTTGAACCCCCTGTTCCGTATTTCGAACACGTTAAACCCCCTCTTTATTTCGAACACGTCGAACCTCCTGTTCTATTTCGAACACGTCACGTCGAACCCCCTGTTCTATTTTGAACGCGTCGAACCCCCTGTTCTATTTCGAACACTCCCTCGCTAGAACCAAGGTGGTGCTCCATCTACAGTACAAGGTCAAAACGCAGCTGCTTGAAACAAAGGCTGTAAAAGGTGACCGCATAAGGAGATAGAGGCTGGGACGGGTGAAGAGTGTGTGAAATTGAGCCGTGGCCTTTCACGGCGACGTAACCAAAAACGGAAAAAAAGGCTCTAAAAATTCCCATGGTTTTTCTCCGGGTTCTAGGGCAACTTCATTTTGTCATGGAAAGATGATAGAGCTTGCAGTACAGAACATTACTGTACAATGATGGTTACATATACAGTTCTAGGTTGTGACTTTTTCGTGTTACGCTTTTCGAGCTTGTCTTGCTTAAAAGTCACCTCCCGTAAAACTGAATTCCCAGTCGCCGTGAAACGCTTGGTGAGCAAATTGTGATGTCGCCTGCTGACACGGAACATTTTTTGTTCGCTAAAGAAGCTGAAAATTGACTATCGATTTGCTTATCAACTCGTGGCAGGCTTCCAGGGCTGGATGTGGCCGTCTTTTGATACTCGCAGATTGAGAAACGCGTCTGCATTGTAATTGGGCTTTTTATGTTTCCTCCAAGGATATGTGTGGGTCATATGACACCGTATTACGTATATGCAGATCTCTTTGGGCTTAGGTACAAACGTAGCCTTGGTACCAGCCTGTTGCCAGGGCCAGAATACAGGCTAGCTCCTCGCTCCAGGGCTAGACTGGGTGCCAGACTGTTGCCAGGGGCTGTATAAAGGCTAGCTCCTTGACTTCAGGACAAGCCTGGGTGCCAGACTGTTGCCAGGGCCCTAGCCTGGGTGCCAGGGCCAGTAGACAGGCTAGCTCCTTGGCTCCAGGGCAAGCCTGGGTACCAGACTGTTAACGTTGCCAGGGTCAGCATACAGGCCAGCTCCTCCGCTTCAGGGCTAGCCTGTCTCCGAGAAAATTTTACAATAGACTCCCCAGTTATAACGTTAGCAACTTTCATGGTCTATTGGCTGTATCTGTGTGAAGGTCTGTGTGCTTGAAACGTCCTCTAGCGTTCCATCCTGACATTGCAAATCGCCAGGTCTTTGACAAGACTTTATCGAGATCAAACATCCATTCCTCATAAATGCATTGAAAATTTACCAGTGCATTAGGCCATTAGATACAACGATTTTGCAATTCTGACATTTGTACAATTTGTAAAACCACTCTGTAGTCAAATTATATTATCTGAAAGGTTTTCAAGTTGGATATGGTATGGTATGGTATGATAGAGCCATTAGACTTTTTTATAGAACTCAAATACACAACTTGATACAGATACGTCTACATGCACAGCGGCTAATCTATTCTTTTTAAAGAAGATATAATAGTTTTGCTGAGATACAGTATAATAGTTTGTAATTGATTTAAAAAAAACACTTTTCAGACAGTGGAGTCACTTGCGCTCCGGAAGTTACTCAGCTCTGAGGCGAATACAAATAATATCTATTGACACAACAAAACTACAACTATCCGTAATAAACAAATAAGCGGATACAAATTATTTAACCTACCTAACGTTACAAGTGTATGAATAAATCAACATGTTTGAGTTTGACTGTCACTTATACTACTAGTTCTAAGGTATAAAGAAAAGTACTAGTTATGCTTTGATATATATAAAGTCTAAACCTAACCCGACTTATAAATCCAAATCCTAACCCTAGCCTGACATCGACACGGGTCAAGTCTCTGACATGACCGAACATCCGATACCGGCGTTACGTAGCGGAGATACTATCTACCACGATCAGTCTCTGACAAGCCATCGCCATTTTGTCCTTCTGCCATTTCCAGCCCCTGTTTTTCGGTACGTCAGTTTCTTAACTTTGTCTCAAAGTCCGGAATTCCTGGTCTGAAGACAACTTAAGAATTCTCTGCTGGGATTTCTGGAATTCTGCCATCTTTTTTCTGATTCAGTGATTGACACTCGTTTTCCGCATCGGCGTGACTAAGCCTGTTGTGGTTTTAAATCCAGGTGAAGCTTTATCTGCAGGATCGTCTGACAAGATACAGGAAAGACTTAACGTCTGGATGCCTTGAAGCCTGCCTTCAACATTCACCGCCATATATGGTCTCTATAGTTGCTGGTTACCTTGTTAGCTTGTATTTGAGGTGGTGAGGTACCGAAGCGGTCGACTCATCAACGATCATGCTGAATTATGGCAGTAGACTGGTAAGTTTGCGCAGAACTTGGTATATAATCACCTACGTAACTTTCAAACACACTGTGTGATATTTTCTAGATGTTTATTTGCTTCAAAGTCGACGGAATTGTGCGATGAAAGGGGAAAACAAACAGTGTGATATTTGCTGTGACAGGTGTTGTAAGAAGATGGCACGATTTCGACAAACCTAAGACACCCTATGACCTACTGGTACTCATTTAGACCCAGATATTGCTTATCACAGATCTAGAAACAGTTTTTTTTAATTCTACAATGTCTCGTGGCTAGATTGGTATTCACAATTCGTCATTATTTTCTAAACTATATAAATACGAGGTTAACTTTATCATGAAGTAAAGAAGGTTCGCTTGGGGGTCTTGGTTGAGGCAGCTAAATCCGGCAACAATCAGGTTATGACAACACACGACACCGACATCCGAGCTGGGATGACACAAGGTCACGAACAGACTATGTTCTGTCCCATATCATATTTCATAACGGTTACATTTCAAAGTCGACGAATGAAAATTAAGCTATCTGCGAAACAAAATGAACTAAGGCGAACTGTTCGCTTTTGCGCTTGTCCGGTGAATTTTTTTTTTTACAAATAACCTAACAAGTTACCTAAAAGGTAGTCAAGAGGATAAAAGTAAATAACCATTAGAAAATAGCTGTAGTTATTTATATACACGTTTTCCTGGCTTTTCTTCACTAATATTGTACCAAAATGTCTACTTTGAGTTTTAAGGATGCTTTCTTTGCAAATTTGAAATTTCCTCCTGAGATTTTGTCAGGCTGTTTTGCTCCATTGCATAGGAGTAACACACTAACATCTGTGTCCATAATATCACCATAGTCCATAATATCGCCACCTTGAGAAAAAGTGTGCTTAAACTGTTAAAGATATTTTTACTGCAATATACCCTAGGTATGTACATTTGAGGTGTGCAGGAGTGAATACCAAAAGACTGTTGCAGTAAAAATATCTTAAAGCACACTATTTCTCAAGGTGGCGATATTATGGACCCTGGTGATATTATGGACACGGATGTTATATGTTAATTGCACTTTGGTGGTAACTCAATACGTGCTTTCACTCCGTAAATAATTTAGCAGTCACTTTCATTACAAACGCGATTATAATGTAATCTCCAAACCGATCTTTTGGTGGCTGTAAGACAGTATCAAGCATGCACTATATTTGCCCCCCCCCCCTCAAAAAAAAGAGAGAGCGGTACAAAACAGAAAGACCGATAAAAATGCCTAAAACACGTAAAAGACTAAGCCTAAGCCTAAACCCTGCTCGGAGAGTAACATTAAGTTACGTACATTGTTAGTTACTTACCAAATCTGCTGAGTTTCCACTATTAATCGCTAGGATCGCTTTTATCGTAACACACCCACTGACCTCTGACCTTATGTTGGCCTTTTCACCTTCTAACCTGTGTATTAATTTCTATATCATAATATATTTGGCTATTTGTCACGAAGCAAACGTCCAGAAATGCGTCTTTTATTCCTAATATTTGAAACACATCCACATATTGTCTCTTTTTTTGGCTCTAACTTGAAAAGAACCGACAGAATTCTTCGTTTTATTTTGTCTTGCGCGGAAGGATTGGGGAAGCAAATCGCCACTTCCGGTTTTTCAAGTCTGGGCCACTTCCTTGGGAGTTTTCTCAAACTTTCACTCTCGTATTTTCCTTCAAGATGTCCAAGGCGGGCAAGAAGCAAGTCGAAGACTGCAAGGAGAGGACAGGAGGAACAGAACTCGAGCTTGTTGACAAGGGAATCTCCAATCTCCTGGACGTACCGGGTCTTTGTAAGTGTTGTTGTTCATATATGGCCCAACTATGGATGGAATGTGACTTTATTTACTGCGCGCCCCCCTCCCCATCCTGTACACTAGAAACCAAAAACATTTGTTTATTTCGATAATAAAGCTCAGTTTCACGTTTGAGAATGCAAATCTGTTGTTTGATTCGCATATTAACTCTTTTAAAAGGCTGTTTTAGTAGTTGTTTTTGACTTAACTCAGTGCCCCACCCCCTCGACCCCCTTAGGTTAATACTCTAAATCAGAACTGGGCTTAGTCATAAACAAGTTCAAGCGAAAAATAGAAGACAGTCACTTCTATGATATGTAACTCTGATTATTAAAAAGAGCACTGTGAAATGAGAATTCTGCATGTTACTATTGTAAGTGTGTGTGTGTGTGTGTGTCTGTATATACTACATTACTTGCCTTGTGTATGTCTGTCTAGATTTATAAAAATGTTCTTTTCTCCAACAGTACAATTGTCCAACCTGGTGAGATTGACAGCCAGTCACAACAAGCTCCATGGTGAGTGAGAGGTTAACATTATCAAAACATCTTTGTCCAGTTAATAAAAACTGTAAAATTGTAATGTTAGAAATTTCAAATAGGTCATAAGCAAACTGGAAGACCTTTGGTTTAGCAGACAGGTAGAGAAATAATGTACAGTATGTTTGCTGTACTGAAATTCAACAATTTTGAGAAAAAAATGTACACTAGTACTAGTGTAGCAATGAAGGTGTACAATAAATAAAACATTGGATAAAGTAATGATGTTCTGTATTGGCTCAAATACAGTCTTATATCCCTTTGTTTTGCATTTGTTTTGTGGCAGTCAGATTTACGTACCACCAATCCAACTGTAGACTGGTTCATACCCTCAGGCAATTGGACAATAGACTGAACCCCTATAGTGGCTATACTGCAGCTGTCTCTGCACCTGGTGTCATTATCTCAAATTTTACTTCCATATTTACGATATGGAACATTTTTCCCTCATGCCACATAACTAGGAACTATAAACTGACAAATTCTGACAATATAGTCCTTTTCAGCATGGTTTTACAGATGATACACTGGTTGATATATTACCTGGCATTACCTTGACACGGTGACTCAAAACATGCCAACAATGCACCGGCTATGGGTGTATTTGATTTGACCATGTTGTGGTGTAGTAATTTTGCCACTGCAAAGTTTTAAATTAAAGCTTTATTTGTACATTAGACAATATACACATTTTTCATAGAATTAAATAGCCTTGTTTATATTCATAACAAGCCCAGTGCCACCTATAGCTACTAGTATTACTAGTACATGTGTATACACATGTACATCATCATCATACAGCCTCTACCAGGCTTCAGAAGTGGTTGGAAAGAGTAGAAATTGGCCAAAATAGACAACTTGCCAGAGCGACAAACTCTACTCCTTAGTGCACTAACTCCCCTGGCAAGTTATCTGTCTGTTTGGCAAATTCCTACTCTTTCAAACTATTTCTGAAACCTGGTAGAGACTGGTTTATATCAAGCTTGTAGTTCAATGATTTGATACTTTGACACAGAACCTTAATTGAGTGAATCTTTCTTCCCTCCCCCCTAGCGGTTCCTCCCAGTATTGCACAGCTGCAGAACTTGGAGATTCTCAACCTGTTCAACAACCAGATTGAGGTCAGGAAAATTCTGGAATTTCTCACAGAAAACACTGCATGAGTTTGTAGTAAAGTTTAGAACAGAGTTGTTCTACTTAGTTTTAACGTTTAAAAGTAAGGATTTGCTTTTTCATTAGAAAAAAATGTAAATGTCACAATGGGGAATACCAGACAATTGTATATGATTTGTGTTGAATGTTACTGTAGCTTTTTGTTTTCATGTTCGCAGGAACTTCCAACGACCCTGTCTACCCTGCCTAAGCTGAAGCATCTTAACCTGGGGTGAGTAGTCAGAGAATATAACAATGATGATGAACTTTATGACATATTCTTTTTTCGTGGCCCACATGGGTCAAATGCACTAGTTTAGATAACTGAGGTACAAGGGTAGCAGGAAGTGCTACATTTCTGTGTTACATCTATATCTACAGGATCTCTTCTTTCTTTCTGATATCCTGCAAACATCTGAGAAACAATACGGGTAAATCAAACTTGTGTGGCAAATGCTATCCAAGGTATTTGAAATTAAGAGATTCATTTTTTTTTCAATCTTTTCCTGTGAGACCAGGATGAACAGGTTGAGTTCCTTGCCGCGAGGGTTTGGTTCCTTCCCGAGTCTGGAGATTCTGGACCTGACGTACAACAACCTGACTGAGAAGAGCCTGCCGGGAAACTTCTTCTACTTAGGTGAGGTCACGTGAGGTCACTTACTGTAGAATTTTTAACTGTTCGCACTACTTTTGAGTTTGTCAGCTTGTACTTTTTACATTCAATCTTCAAAGTCACCATTCTTATATAACATTTTTATATTGATTTTCTTGGAAATTTGTAAAAAAATAAAATGTAAAGGTAGTCCCATAGCCATTTTTAGGCTGTAGAGGTAGGGGGTTGTCTCTATGGTACGGTATTGGAAGTTGGAGTACATTCTTTTCCTTCCACTGCCTTTTACCTCCACAACTGAAGTCAGGTACCCATTTTACACCTAGACTGAGAAAGGCCATGTAGACTGCCTTTCCCAAGGACACAGCGTCTAGCAAACAACGCCAGGAATCGAACCTGTGCCCTTTCAGTCTTGTGCCCGCTAGCCTAGCCACAGGAAATTTGTACTTATCTTTGAAGTCATCTTATTCTTTATTGCCCTTTCTGCCCAGAATCGTTGAGAGCTCTGTACCTGGGTGACAACGACATGGAAACTCTCCCTCCACAAGTTGGTCAGCTCATGAAGCTACAGATCGTGAGTATTACAGGCATAACTAGGCATTGAAGAGTTATATCAATAAATAGATGAAGAGTTCAGACTACCAGGAAGTATTTTGGGTATTGCTCACCTTCAAATTCACAGAAGAGGTTTTGGGACCTGTGGAGCGGATTATATGATGTAACTTGATCAGGTATTTCAACACTTCATGAAGGCAAAAGTAGTTGAGAGATGAAACTGTACCTCTGGCATGTTATCTACTACATGTATGTCTATTTGGTGGCCAATTTCTACTCTTTCCAGCCACCTCTGAAGCCTGGTAGAGCTAACACCTTTTTCCATCTAATAGTACAGTAGACATGTGTATCCAAATATATGGTACATTAATGATTAGTTTGACTTCCCTTGTTCTGTTTGTTTGTTTGTTTGTTTGTTTGTTATAATGTATATGTCTGTTTGTATATGCTGTAGCTTGTTCTGAGAGACAACGACCTGATTGCCCTGCCCATGGAGGTTGGGAACCTGGAGAGGCTGAAGGAGCTGCACATCCAGGGCAACAGGCTCACTGTACTTCCACCTGAACTCGGTAGGGGGCAGCTCTATACCATAGCAATATTCTAGCTGCTGCCGCCACTGCGTACCTGCAACGTTGGTGTGTTATGCTGAAATGGCATTTATACCAGCTATGCAGATACAGATACAGAAGCTGTGTGTGTTATGCCAAAGGGTGGTTATACCAGTAGAGATACAGAATATTCAGCAAGTTTGAACTGTACTGTCTACATGTAACACAACAAGTTGGACTTACCCCAATTTTCCAATTGTGAATCTTTGTATTGCTTGAACATACTGTAATTCCTGTTTTTTTCACTGTACTGTTATGTTCACGGTTTTCACTGTCACTTCTGTACCGTGAACTTTTCTGCACTTTCTTTTTCCTGCACCCGTCACCACCGTGAACATATAGTTCTGTGAACATGTCCACTTTTTCTCAGACCGTGAACTTTTGCTACCGTGAACATTAAGTGAATTACAGTATTGCAAACAGTCTAGCCATTGAACTCACATGGCCGTAATGCATAAAACGTCTCTTGTGAACAGAAAAATATTTATAGAGAAGTACTCTCTCTCTCTCTTGGTTTGGCATTGTGTCCGAAGATTACTACAAACAAAACAAAACGATCCCAATGATCAGAGTTCCAGTAACCTCTAACCTGTGACCTCTAACCTGTGACCTTACAGGAAAGCTTGACCTGTCGGGGCCTAAGATGGTGTTTAAGGGGGATAACAACCCGTGGGTGGCCCCGATCGCGGACCAGCTGCAGGTGGGAGTGTCTCACCTGCTGGAGTACCTCAGGTCCGACACCTACAAGTAGTAAGTGTTTCTTTTTGTTACTGGTACAACCAAGTGGGTAGAGTGCTTGCCTTGCATTCAGGTAGTTTGTGAGTTCAATCCCCAGCCAAGTCATACCAAAGACAGAGTACATAGCACTCAGCATTTGAGAAAAAGTATAGGAGTAGAATATAGGAGTTTAACACACATGCACCACTACCAGTGGACTAGCTCCCTGCTGTAGTGATTGCACCTACAAGTAGTAAGTGGCTCTTTCTTCCTCACATTTTATCTGATCACCTGTCGTTAAGGGGGCACACCCCAGTTGATTTTGGGTTGCCATGTGAGGCTGCACACCTTCAAGTCTAGCAACCAGGGAATAATTCAAAATATGTGTTTATGGGATGGAAGGATATCCATTTAGTTACAAAACTAAGATTTGTTTCTTCAACCTCTTAAATTTTGGCAAAATCAACAGAAAACCCATTATTTCCATGCCAAAATTATGCACGAAATTAGGAATTTTCATGTAGATTAATCACATGAATAAAAGTTCTGGCAGAAATGTTGGCAGATAGACACAAACCTTGAGTACAGTACTCTAGTCAATTATCAAGAAAATCCTAGTACTGTGATATTTTTAATCCCTACTGGGGTGGACTATTTTGTGTCTGTCTCTGTTACCCCCAGCCTGTACGGGCGTCACATCCAGGCCGGGGCCCAGCCGCCGCCCAAAACCACTGACAAGTCCAAGAAGATCAGCAGAAAGGCCAAGGGGAAGTAAAGCTGGTCGTCATGGAGACCAAACTGCCCAGTAAACAAACTCCTGGAAACTATGTAAAACACCATATTTGGAAAAGTCTAATGTCAGTTTCTTTTCCATGATTTATTTTACTGTTTTATGTTTCTTGGACACCAGACTACTTTACCTTAATTATGAAACACAGTTTTAAGAGAAATGTGGAGTGAAAGTTAAATTTTGGGTGTTTTTATTTCCAGGAGGATCCTTTAAGACAATTAAACTTTGATGGAGACTTTCTCTCCAAAACTACATTTGTACTGTCTACAAACATAACTGTGGAATCATTGAAATGGGAAAAATCATATCCACACAGCTTCCACATATGGTAAAAGTGGAAGGAGTGAAAATATTGTTTTAGCCTTCTGATCAGTTAAAACACTCCCAAGAAGGGATCGTCCGTCATTTCAATGGTTTTACAAACTGATATCTCTAAGAAGGGATCGTGCGTCATTTCAAAGGTTTTACAAACTGATATCTCTAAGAAGGGATCGTGCGTCATTTCAAAGGTTTTACAAAATGATATCTCTAAGAAGGGATCGTGCGTCATTTCAAAGGTTTTACAAACTGATATCTCCAAGACTCAGGTTATGGGATCCATCTCGCTCAGTAACTTGAACTACAATTATGGTATTTTTTAAAGCATTTTCTTACTTAGAGTATTTGAAAGGGAATCTACTACTAGTATTGTAAGGTGACTAGTTTGATACTTTTTGTCTGCAAGCTAGATAAGATGGACTAAAAGCCAATTTTGATAGTATTTTTTTTCTGGTGAAGATACGTGTATATCTTGTAGATTTAATAAACTTTAAGGTTACTTTTGGATGCTATGGCTTTCGTAGCTTTTCAAAGCAGTCAGCTACAATTTTGACTAACACTCGGTATACTCGTATTTTGTAAGTTGCATGTGCATTGCGCTGATGAATTATTATGTCTATATATTTATCCTTAGGCCACACCAATTTAATATCTTGGTTAACAGATTTTTCTAGAAAAATAATGGAGCGGGCGGGCGAAAAAAAATAAAACAGGCCCAGGCATCCTATTATGGCCCAAAATGGTACGATAGGAGCCATGAAGTCAACACACCAGGCAGGTTCAAAATTTAAACAATGAATTTTGAACTTGTAATGATACCATTGCATTGAAAGATGGAATAACTGTAACAACTAGGATGAAAAGGACGGTTTTCAACTGTTCAGGGCAAAATATTAGCATTTTGCAGTTGATTCTGAATTTTTATTTTTATTTGCAAATCAGAAAAAAAATGAAGCGGGCGAATCCGTTAACCAAGAAATTAAATTGGTGTGGCCTTAGCTATTTATTCATCTCACATTAGTTGAATGTAATGCTTTTGTGAGGCTTGTCGGCATACATGTATGTTGGTGTGTTTGTACTGTAGTAGCTATGGTAAACATCATTTAACATATCCAGCTTGTTCCACTACATTGGCAAGTTTTGGATAGTCTTTTTAACAAGCTGAGAGTGTCAAAGTTGACTGTATTTACTATAATAACTGCACATATATGTCAACCATGCATTTATGATATTTTCTGTCATTGTCAGTATAAACCCTTTTTTATACTGTCAAATTTTAGTCAGAATACAGTAATCTTCCAGTGTGAGTCTGTATATGCTTCTTCAGATGCCCCAGCTGATTGAACTGCCTGCTGCACTCCTTACACCTAAAGGGTGGACACATGTGGACTCCCCTGTGTGAGTCCGCATGAGTTTCTTCAGATTATCCAGCTGACTGAACTGTCTGCTGTACATCTCTAGGGTTTCTGTCCTCTGGTAGATCGCACAGAAGAATCCTTCTCTGCCTTGCATTTGTGATTATTTTGGTTATAAGGTTTGTTCAATTATTACTGGTAGAGCAAAGACAGTAAGGGAGGGCCTGGTTGTGCAGTTATTAGAGAAAGTACAAGTCAGGAAACAGCTGGATATGTTTGAATGATATCAACTGAGGTGAGCTGGGTAGGGGATAATTTTCAAGCAGATGTCTCGGTGGCCGCAAAAGACTGTATCAAATTGGTCAGGCAGTATCCTTTAGCCAGACAGTTGGGTGGCAAATATACAATGTGCATGTACTGCCTGGCCAATTTGATACTGTCTTTTGTGGCCACCAAAAGATCTGCTTGTAGACTAGAATTGTAGGTAGGAGAGCCATACATAGGTGCAATATGTATTGTGATACAAAGGGGTAGTCTTTTAAGACTACATGGTGTGATCTAGTAGGAACATTTGGTGCTACAGTATGTAGATTGTACGTACACCTACATGTCTTTACCACATTGTGGTTAATACACCATCGACAAATCCACTGTAATATCCATGTGCACCTACAGTGTAGTAGAGTTAAACGTCCACACAACTTTAACCTAGCAGTGCTTTTCCCCAAAAAAGCGTTGGCATCTATTTTTGTACCAGCATTTAAAACTTGTGTCTAACATTAAGTACACTGGCAGCTTCATAATAAAAAGGTGGAAGATGGAGTGGTCTTCTGTTTTGTGTTTTTGTTTTATTTTCTGTTTATGTTCAATTGCTAGTGATATTCACAACGTTTGCCATATACACATGCAATACAAAGATTCAAAAGAAAACACTCAAGCAACTGAATAGATCTTGACAACTGTCAGACATTTCAGGTAGCACTCACTACTTTCATCAGTGACCAACAAAATCTGTAGTTGAACAGTCACTGATACAAAGAAGTGAATGCTACTTTTAAAAAATTAACAGTTTTCAAAACCTATCCAGTTGTTTGACTAACTTTTTTCTCATGTATCTCATTACCTGGGTGTCTAACCTTCCTGGATGCAATACAAACTTTAAGATTGTAGAGTAAAATGTCATTGCTTATCCTCAGTGAAAAGTGGGGATCTATCTTTCAGTGGTGGAAAAACGCTCCTCGCTGCATAGTCCATGAATTCTACTTGAAATGTCTGACAGTTTTCAAAATCTATCCAGTTGCTTGAGTAACTTTTCTTGTGTATGTCATTACCTGGTTGTTAAACCTTCATCGATAATACATCAATAAAACATCATTGCTTTAATCCTCAGTAAAAAGTGGAGATCTGTCTTTCAATGGCGGAAACACACTTCTTGCTGCATAGTCCATGAGCCCAGGTACTAGAGGTCTGAGTTTGGTGGCGAACCACGCGTCCCTCCAGGGGTAGTAGATTTCTCGTTGCCGGGTGGCGCCCCCCTTGATGATAGCCATGGCACAGTCGGAGGGAGGAGACGGTTTGTAGTCCTTACTCATCTGAAAGGTCTGGAACGGAAATAGACAAATGGGAAACAATTGGGTAATTCGCCAAAAAGCAGTTACTCAAGCAACTGGATATGATTTTGAAAACGTCAGACGTTTCAGCTAGTATCCACTAGCTTTCGTCAGTGACTGAGACCTTGTCTTGATCTTGTCTTATCTTCTCTTGACTTGTCTGACTTTTGTTCCATTTTCGACTTCCAAAAATTTGTCTTCACTTTATTTGCATATCAATCAATAGTTTGTGCTTATAAACCTGCATTTCCCCTCTGGTCCCTCACTCACTGACGAAAGCTAGTGGATACTAGCTGAAACGTCTGACGTTTTCAAAATCATATCCAGTTGCTTGAGTAACTGCTTTTGGCGTATCGTATTACCTGGATGTCTAACCTTCATCGACGTAATACTCATCGGTAGTGAGCGGTAAGGCTATCAGGCACGAGACCGAGAGGTCGCAGGTTCGATTCCTGGCATTACGTTGTGTCTTTTGAAAAGGCACTTTTCTTGATTTTCATCACTCCACCCTGGTGTAAAAAAATGAGGTAAAAGGTGGTGAAAGGAGGGGAAAGGGCCCTAACTTCCAAAACCATACCCTAGACACAGTGGATTAACAACCCACTGCCCCTACGGCTTGAAAATGGCTATGGGACAACAGCCTTACCATTTTGCCTACCAGAAGACCTGATCTTTTAGCATTCTCTGGCATTTTCTCTGGCTTCTTTGGCTCAACATTACTAGTACATTGTATGACTTACCTCTTGGAAGTACTGGGCTGGTTCTGTGTCGATGAAGCCAATGACACAGTACGTCACGGACACGTTAATGTCCTGCATTACCAACTCCTGCCGCAAGGAGGCGAAAAACCCGTCCAGACCAAACTTGGTGGCCGCGTAGAAACTGGTGAAGGGATTCCCGATCTTTCCTGTGGAGAAAACAGCAAAAAACTACTTAGTGTATAGAAAGGTAACATTTGCAAATCAGATGCATAATGTTATCTTCACAAGGGGATGGTCTAGTCTAATAAACTAAAAGCTCACGTACAGTGCTTATTCTTAGTCATTATACAATGTACATTCATATTGTACATGGAGACCAGCCCCTCCAAGTCTGTCCTGCCACTTGCTACATAATGTAATTCAACACCACAGGGTGTCTGCTACAGCACCAGTTACCATGGTGACAGCTGTCTATTACAGGCCACTGAACTTATATTGTTTGGAGAAGAAGAAACAGAGCAAAACAAAATTCCCTTCTGCAAACATTATACTCTAAAGCAGAGATGAATAACTGCATTGTTTAATCCCACATCCCACAATTTACCAAACGTTGTGAGAAAACAATGGATGGTTAGATGGATTGAGGGAAAGAGGTATGAATGGAGTAAGGGATGGGTGAATCGATGGATGGAGATGCAAAGAGAGATGGCAGATTGTTCTAGCTTTCTCAAACAAATTTGCATCAGCATAACTTTTCTACATTTCCCACATACCTGCGATTGACCCAACGACCACCAGGCTGCCGTTGGTCCTGTGTAAGAGCGGCAGAGCCAGTGATGCCAGCCGGATGTAGCTGTAGTAGTTGATCACCACATGGTCGTGGAGGAACTCCATGTCACCGTCCCATAGGAAAGCCTTCTTGCCCTTATAGCTGGTGCCTACATGGTTTAGGACTAGGTAGTCCAGACCTCCTGCACAAGCAAAAAAAGATGCTCTTGTCACAAAAAGGGTTACTATAACTTGAAAGGTAACATTTGTAAAGGAAATACATAATGTTTACACATCATATGGTAAACATGAGCTTAACAAATCATTGCTCTGTTTATTTTTACTCAAACACATACATATATTCATATATGTATGGTGACCAGCCCCTTTAATTACTTAGTAACTCTGTCCTGCTACATTAAGTAATCCAACACCACAGGGTGTCTGCTACAGCACCAGTTACCATGGTGACAACCTTCTGGTCCAGGTCACTGGCCTTAAGTGTTTGGAGAAGAAGAACAAAAACAATTAACAGGCCATACATTTATACTAGTATACATGTATATGTAAGATATTTGCTAACCAAATTTTTCCTTGGCAGTTTGGATGGTTCTCTCACAGTCCTCTGCTTTCCCCATGTCTCCTGCTACATAGATGGCCTCCTGGGCTCCCAGGTCCTTCATCTTAGCTACTACCTGGACAACAACAGAATGGACCAAAAACAATGTCTCAATTTTCCATGAACAATTTCATCAGGTTGGTGAAAGATTGAATAGCAAAGTTCTTTATTCACAACCACCTGTTTTACAAGAGCTAAAGTTTCAATGACATTCTGTCATCTTCATTTATCAGTCATCAGGGCAATTATTACTGTGCATCTAGGTCCTGCAACTTGCTACATATGTAACCCAACAGCACAGGGTGTCTGCTACTGTCAGCACCAGTTACCATGGTGACAGACATCTGGCCCAGGTCATTGACCTAATTTGTTCCCAGAAAGTGGAAGAAACAAAGCACAAACAACTTTTGTGCAGCTAAACATAATCATACATAACCCGGTGTTACTTATACACTATATTTTGATTTATTATTATTTATATTTATCATTATTCATTATTATTACCTCCTTCAGTCGTCCCTCCCTCCTGGCAGTGATGAGTACTCTGGCGCCTAGCCTGGCGTAGTGGTACGCCATCTGTTCGCCGATACCGGTACTGCAGCCGGTCACCACCACTCGAGCTCCCCTCAGGGATTCTACATAGTCACGTTATAAACGTTTCATACGATCATTCTACAGTTACATGGAATTTAAACTTAATAGTTTGTGTACTTCACCAGGGTTGCATAATTTGAGAGTCACGCCCCCCCCCCCAAAAAAATACTGTAAGATATACACTTAACGTTTAGTACATGTATAAAATGTATCCGACACACATACATGTTGTCGTTACATGTACAAGCATTTACGTTAGCGTTTGCAACCATAGTAACGCTTTCTAAGCCTAAACCTTTCAACCTTACTAAGTACGACGCTCACTGCTGTGGTGTATCATGTCACATGTTTATATAGCGTATCGTTCATTGACTCCCTCCCCTTCCGATCCGACGATAGCAAACAAGGATCAATTCATTGCTATTTTGACACATGCTTGAGACGTTAGCGGGACTCACCTGGATCAAAAGCGGGTTCATACCAGACGTACCCCACCAGTACGGCCAACAGAAGAGCCAGAGTCCAGCCTAGCTTCCCCATACCTGAATTGTTTTCTCGGCAGTGTGGTGGCTGAGCAGAAAGCGAGGACGCCTGTGTCAGAGTACAAATGTTGTGGCAAAGTCCGCACGATCGCGCATCTTTTGTTTGTCTGAACTTTCAACTTTGGCCCACTGACACTGTGCCCAAAATTCAGCGCGTGCGCGTGCTCGCTCTGTTCTTAATTCACGCAACGTTCTTTTATACGTCCATAGCCATACACATTATTTTTACACACTTAAAAGCCATTAAGGCATATGCGCATAGACATCTAAGCCGTATATATTATTTTAACTTCAAGTATGAAGTTTAAAGTCGGCGATTTCGTCGTTTTTACCAAGTAGGGCGTACAGTTCATTGTATTGATCATTTGTAAAGCAGTTTTGTTAATTTTATGCAATTATACTCATACCCCGCGTATAAAAGCTGTTAGTAATGTCATTCTTCCAAAGAGTCCATAATATTTGCGTGAAACTGCCGGAAAATACCCGGTTAATTATTGGCCGCGGCAAGCAGACTCTCATGCATGGCCATGAATTATGTAAGCCGGTGTCGGAGAAAGTCTGGCTAATTTTGACAATGTTGCCAGCTACATAAAGAGCCTTGTAGAGGATACGTTTCATTACAACGGTTGTTGTCTGTTGTTGGCCAACATTTAAAGCCTAAGTTACTTTGGTCTCAGAGGAATGAGTGAGCCGGACAATATCGTGATCGACGGTGCGTAACGCATCAGCTGAGAATCGTGCTTAAATACGGCTTCCATAGTACGGATCCGGTTTCATATGTTTAAACTCAGGGAACAGAACTGGTAACCTCCTTTGTAAAATAAAGTAAAAACGTTTGGCGCCCCTACCACGTTTCACAGTGGTTTGTTCCATACTTTATTGTTACCTGCCATCCCATAATAACACAGGGGTCTGTGATTGGTGCGGTTTGTTCAGCAAGGCTGACGTATCTTATCCAAGTTTAGTTCTTCATATACAATTATACGCGGGCTGAATTTAGCAAGGGTTAAAGAAGAGTGCCGGGTAAATAATGATTTTATAAAACTTCCGCCGTCAAAACGATGATGATGATGGACCAATCAGAATGACCGTAACAAGTGTCAGTATTCAGAATTTAGACTTTGACCTTAACTAAATACGCTGTCGTGTTTGATTTCGCCCTGATGGAAACCTCCTGAAAAAAATTTGTTCGTACTAAAAAAGGTAAGCTAAGCTCAGCTATCGGCTGATCATCAGCTTACAGTATATGCATGAAATGGTGTTAGATCTTATAGAGATTCGTGTCCAATGCAATGTAACATTAACAATGCTCAAGCTTTTCCTTACATCGTTATCATATTATGTTCAAACTTGATCAACTGAGTTCCACAAGGTTTTTCGTTTTTTTTTTACTGTTTCACTAGAATGTATTTCTGTTCTTACCAACAGCAACCATCTGATGCATTACCAGACGTACAAATGGCTACAGCTGCAGCTGGTGAGTCAGAATAATAATGTTAATAATAGTAATGAGGTAGGACACAAAGACTTATTTACACAAGTTTCTGTACATTAAATTAATGCCCACAACCTAAGACAACTCATTACCTGCCCTACTCGTGGTCAAGCCACCCTGGACTTTCTTATTACCAACTTGAAGTCTTACTACGCAGCACCACATGTCTCAGATCCCCTAGCTACGAGTGACCATAGTGTAGTTACCCTACAAGCTAAATCTACACGCGCCGACAACAAGATGATCAAACGGATTTGTAGACCAGTACGTGACTCCGACCTACGCAGTTTCGGGCAATGGATTACCTCCCACGATTGGACTGAAGTGTTCTCGGCCCACTCCGCAAAGGACAAGTCACGGGCACTGTATGCTACTCTACAAACCCAGCTAGACCATTTCTTCCCCCTGAAACTTGTTCGCCTCCACCCCCAGGACAAACCGTGGATAACACCTGCTATCAAAGCGCTAATCCACCGACGACAACAGGCTTTCGTTAAAGGAGACACAGAGTCATGGAAACACCTTAGAAACAAAGTCCAACGTGCGATCTCGGCAGCCAAAGCGACACATTTCAATACGAAGGTCAAAGCCCTTAAGAAAGAGGACGCTGCTCTATGGCACCAGCAAATCAAATCTATGGCTAACTCAAGAACAGCGGAAGCCGTTATCCACGTGACTGATCTAGCCCCCAGTGACACTAAAGGCATAGCCAATGCAATAAACTGCTCCCTGTCTTCTGTTACAAACTCACTGCCGCCACTGGATCCGTCATGTCTTCCTACTTACCTGCCTTCCCTTCCGCCGCCGGCTGTACAGCCCTGGGAGATGTACCAGAAGTTGTTGAAAGTGAAACCCGGAAAGACGGCCGGACCGGACTCGATCCCAGGCAAGATTATTAAAGAATTTGCATATGAACTGAGCGGTCCACTCGCGGACATTCTCAACACGTCACTCAAACAAAGCATCGTCCCCGAGGAGTGGAAGTCTGCTATCGTCGTCCCTATCCCCAAAACCAAGCCTCCTTCCATTAACGAGCTTCGACCTATCTCCTTAACATCGTTGTTGGGCAAAGTCGCGGAAAGTTTTATCGCACAGTGGGTCATCTCGGACATCTTACCCCAAATTGACTCTAAACAATTCGGATGTTTAAAGGGCAAATCTACTACACATTGCCTCCTCGACCTGACCAATGAAATCTTCAAGGCTACAGACAAACCAGGAGTGTTGTGCTCGCTGGTATCAACTGACTATAGTAAAGCGTTCGATCGCGTTAACCATAATGTAGCCATTCAACGCCTAATCGAGCTCGGTCTGAGGCCTTCCCTCACCAGCTGGGTTGTGGACTTCCTCAGGGACAGAAGTCAAGTAGTCCGTTACCACGGAACTCTCTCTGAGAGCATGACTGTAGCCTGTGGTCTACCGCAAGGAACTCTTCTTGGACCCCTACTATTCATTGCGTACATCAACAGTGCCGCAGCCCTAGCCGCTTCTAAGCGCTGGAAGTTTGTTGAACGATTTAAACCTTCTTGAAGCTAGAAACCCAACCTCAAAGCCTTCCAGTTTACAACAAGACTTAACAGATCTGGATACGTGGTCACACAAAAGCGACATGGTGTTACACCCGCGTAAGTGCAAAGTCCTACACGTCCAGTTTTCCAAGACATTGTACATACCCCCACCACTTAAGATAAACAACATTGAACTTGAACAGGTCAATGTAATGAAGATCTTGGGACTGTACCTCAGTCTGACCTGAAATGGAATACCCACATTGATTCCATCTGTAACAAGGCGAACCAGCGTCTATACCTACTTCGTAACTTAAAGCACTTCCGCGTTCCAGCTGTTGACCTCGTTACAGTGTTACACCTGTTACATCCGCCCGGTACTGGAGTACGCGGCCCCAGTGTGGCATCCTGGACTGACCACTAAACTCTGTAGGAGAATCGAGAACGTCCAGCGTAGAGCGCTGCGGGTCATCTTGGGTGCTGATTTCATCTCCTACTCCAAAGCTTGCGTGCAGCTCAACCTACCATCACTTAAGACCCGTCGTGAGAAACTGACTTTGAACTTTGCCAAGTCCCTTGAACACTCTAAGCTGCACCGACATCTACTGCCGCCTTCTAGAACCTCGATTAGCGGCAGGACGACTCGCTCATCCCACAAACTTGACTCTGTGTTCTGTAGAACTGAAAGATATAGATCTAGTGCGATTCCCTACATGATTCGGATGCTGAATTCCTAGCTTTTACTTCAGAGTACGCATTTTAAATATATATTTTACTATTCATAATCGTTTACCCTGTCTGTAATTTATGTGTACATCTGATATTTTAAATGACCGACCTTTTAACGTATCTTATATTAATAATTAATGACGTATAATGATTTTAATGTGAGCTAACTTTTTATTAATTAACCAATTGTAATTGGCAGAGCACTTCAGGTCCCAATTACATGGAACCTGCCTTTCTGTGCAAGTGATGAATGATGAATAAACCATTATTATTAATAAATCCTAAAACTGTATTTGACCCTTTATAGCTTATATTCCAAATTCTTGCTACTATTAAATACCCCCAGGATATCATAGAAAATGTCCATGGCCAATACACAAGCAACACCATTCTGTGATGAAGAATGCATGTATAGATGAAACTATTTCAAAGGAAAACAAGGGTTGGAGATGTCAAATTAGCTCCTTATTTGCATAATCAATATATAATCTATCAATGTCCCACCAGTGCTATATTTTACATGTGTTACGTGTATTAAAGTCCAGTAGTACAGTGTAAAACATACACTAGGAATTGTATAATTTTCCAGCCTTTTTGTGTACATAGGTCTAAACTACCAACATGCTGAAAATCATGACACATAAACCAATTTCTTGACTTATCTTCTTTGAAAGATCTCATTAATTAACAAGAGTGCACTTCAGTTCATGAACAAGCTTCTAGGGGAACCAAATATATACACTATTTTTTTCATGACATTATAAGCTATCTGCCACCAAAAAATATAATATAATAAAACCATGACAAAGATACAAAAACCAGTTCCAGAGTGCTGCTTCAGCACCAAGGACAGCTGCCAGGGGCCCATAATATAACTTGATCTTTGTCCTACAAAGGCCTACTAACATACCAAATATCATGATCACAATTTACCCAGGCCTTCTAGATCTTTTTTTTTATGTGCTGACCACAAATCTGCAGAACCACAGACAAACAGACAGACAGACTGAAAGTAATACCTTCAATTTTTAAGCAATTAAGGTGGTAAAACAGAGTACTCCTTGGCTGCCAAATCAAAGGGAGTTTGACATTCTAGTTTCAAACCATTCTACAATGAATGCAGGAGCAGCATTGATGAAAATCTTTGGTGAAAATGACTCAATGCTGTTCCCTTACAGAAAAACCTGCTGTGTTGCTGGTTCATGATGAGTATGCCAAAAACTCTTCCATAAACAACAAGGTCTTAGATGTAATCAAAGAAAATGAGCCAGGCATACCAGTAGTCTGCACGGTACTGAAAGCAACAGAAGAGGAAAAACAGGAAGCACTGAATGTTGGAGTGAGACTTTTATCACCTTCACTTGACCAAGATGACAATAGGGCTCCATCTCTGGATTGGCTGACCTTCGACCATCACTCCAGATACCCACATCTTCCCTCCAAGATTAGGAGCATCGTTGGACATGCTGGTATCACCAGCAGAGCAGCAGTGAGGATAAAACAAGAACGCTACCAAGATGCTAAACTCATCCTTGTTACCAGTGACATACCAGAGGACACAGAGTATTACAAGGGAGAGGAGAAGGCCATGGGCATTGGGAAGAAGGAAGACTCCATCCTTGAAGATGCACAAGAAGCTGATGTTGTCTTCTCTCTTGGTGACAAGATATTTGACCACTTCGAGAACCAATTCAGGGCCATACCTGCCAACAAGCGACCTAAGCATGTCAAATTTGCTCCAAGGTCTTCCAAGATTTTCCAAGATTCAGTGGCTGAATACAAGGACACAAAGACAATGGTGGTCCTGTCCATTGGTAGAGTGAAGGGTGTTGAGAAGCTTTCCACTGAATCTCTCAGCATTGTTGCAGACAAGATGAACATCAAGTGGCGAGTCATAGTCAACAAAGATGACTTTGAAGCAACCAATGCAATTCTTGAGCAGTATAAGTCAGCAAACTTACAGATAACCCTCATCCCCTACGGCACACAGAAGGACATCTGTAAGGAGATGATGAAGGCCCACCTGGTCCTGATGCCTTCTCGTGCTGAACCGTTCGGACTGGTCGGCCTGGAGGCCATTGCAGCAGGCGTTCCTGTTCTTGTTTCAAGCAAGTCTGGGTTGGCAGACTTCATTCATGAACATGTAGATGAACTGCATCATTCGATTGTTGACATGGATGGAAGTGACATACATGCCACTGTCAAAGTATTGGCCCAGGGCATTGAAAGAATCTTGAAACACAACAAGACAGAATTCAAAACAGCAGCAAGGGGCAAGCAGCAGCTTCTGTCCTCAAAGTACTGGGAAGAGTCTCATTGTCAGTTCATCCAAGCCTGTACAGATGCAGGTAATTATTATAACTTCATTTCTGTCATACCCAGGGCCTTACATTCTATAACAACCATACCATACTTGCTTGGTCTAAACCAATGAGGTTCTAAATTGAACCTCCTTGGTCTAAACTAACTTACATAATATAATCAATCAAGTACATAGCAACTTTTATTCCTTAGTAGCAACCTTCAGGTAACAAGTGTATATTGTAGTAGCTTACTATAATAATGGATATTTAATTGTAATATTCTATGAGACATTCTGAAACAGTTGATCTGTGTCCAGGTCATGATTCACAACCTGCTACAGTTAAGAAGAGGAAGCACAGTGCTGCTTCTATTGAAGAAGCTGGGGAAGACACAAAAGCCCTGAAACCAGGTAAGTCTACACTCAGGTATTGTATTTCTTATCAAACAAACATTAAACAAGTAAATTACTCCACATTTTCAAATGACGTTGATATTGAATGTCTCGTGTATGCCTCATTGTTCCAATTGACATATACCTTGAGCCTCAAAAATTGTATTGATATTTTGAGTCAATCTGTTTCACTTGACTCAAAAAAGTTTACAATTGCATAGAACAGTGGGGATAATTGAATACACAACAGTTTACTATAGTATATACATCTATTACTATAGGTAAGTGTGGGATTTGGCCTTTGGTTTATTCATCTCTAAACATGGACTACATGTACTGAGTATTATCAAGCTAGTGCCAGTGTGGTCAGCAATTTGTATGATCTAACGTTTTGTACCACGAAGCATGACCCATATCTAAAACAATTTCTCTTTCAGAAGGACCACCTCCACTTTTGGCAATTAAGGTACAGATACTCGCACAAGTGGAACCCAGTTTGAGAACCCCTAAGGATCTGAAAAATTATGCCGATGCAGAAGAGACCCTAACTCAGGAAATCACGAATGTGACAGATAAAACCCTTCGTCTTCTGAAGCAGATAATGCCTGAAATTAAAACTATTGATGACCTACTTGACACTGTAGAAGCAATCAAGAAACTTGAGAAAGTCAATGGAGTTAATGTTAATGGTGTGAAGAAAGGCTGCCTAGTATTCTTCCTGCAATGTACAGACTTGAATGGACTTGGCAAAGTCTGGTTCATGAACAAAACTGGGGCATTGGACAGACTGCTGCATAGTTGTTTGTTCAGAGAGATTACTGAGCAGCTAGTCTCCACCAAGTCTATTTCTGTGAAGGCAACCATCCATGTGGAAGACTTCAGAAAGGCCCTCATCTACCTCCTTGCGACTGCTGCTCCCAAAGGTAATCTTTATAACCCAAACATATTTTCATCTTGCTGTATTAACATACATAGCATAGAAAGTAGTCATGCCATTTTGCTTCCTTATGTGCCAACTGGGGCTATAGTATAGATACTATGATCATAGTTACTGTATTACTGTAAACAATGCTACTCTTTGTTACTCAGTGCACTAACCCTTATAATTTCTGATGTACTGTAGGCCTGGTCCGTATCACTTCCATGGACAACATGATGACCCTGACACCCTCCGTCAGGCATGTGGACCATGCTAGTGTATTATTAAGGGGCCTAGACCTGGCTGCAGTCACCAGAGAGGACCATTCAGATAAAACCAGGCCTGCCGATGTCTCTACACTGAACTTCACAGTCAGACAAGTACAGATGGCTCTAGATCTGAGAACAAGAAGAGAACCAGATTTGAACCACAGACTCCTGCACAAAGAACGTATGATGCGTGTCAGTTTAGAAATTCAGAAAAGCTTGCTGGAAGACAAAAACCAGCAGTTAAACGACACAAACAGAGCTAGAGAAACCAAGATTGAAGAACTGACAAAGGAGAACACAAAACTGTCTCGTCAGCTATATATGGGTACTCCAAAACTGCAAGAAGAAGTTAGGAGGTTAAGAGAGAAAGGTGAAGAGTCACAGGAGCTTCTCTTGCAGAAAACACTGGAAATAGAACAACTACAGGAGACCAACAAGGACATGGCAATTAGAATAGATGAGCTGTTGAGTGCCATGCACAAAGTGAAACAGGAGAAAGAAAAGCCTAGGCCTGGGCCAAGACTGTTTGTAGCAGAAGAAAAGACAGATGCTTCAGATGAAGAGAGCAAAGGAGACCAAGCAGGTATGCATGGAAAATAGTTAGTACACACTTTTTATCATTTTTAGAAGCAAATTTTCATACATCTGTTATCATAAGCATACCAAAATATACCAAGGTATAAAAAAATTTCAGGACGGAAGGTGACTTTTTATCTGTCCACACATAAGAAGCATTCTGTTCTGAGACAGAGAGACTAGGGGGCCCGGAGATAGCAGATGTTCACTCATTACTGCAGGCATGTACTAAAAAATGTACATGCCTGCTGGTAGAAAAGTATCTTCTTTAAGCAGAGAATATATTTTCAAACTTGTAGACAGTTAAATGTAGCACACTACTGCTACATGTAATAATTAACAAAATCAATTATCTTCCAGCTGCTGGAAAAGATGAGGAAACACGGAAATGGGAGGTGAGTGGCTACATAGGCATCATGCCGGGTACTCCAGGTGCGGGAGCATCCACCTTTGTCAACTCCATCCGAGGGCTAAGGCCTGATGATCCAGAAGCAGCAGAGGTTAGCCCCCAGCAGGTCACGAAAAGAATTGATTTATACCCCCATCCTGTTCACACAAACCTCATCATAGTGGACTTCCCAGCCCCAGAATGTACATATGGCTTAATGAATGTTGAAGTTGAGGAACAGATGGACAAATGCAATGTTTTCCTTGTCTTCATAAGTCATCGTATCCAAACCGATGTGGTGCAGATGGCACAAAAGGCTAGAGCAATGGGCAAAAAGGTGCTGTTTGTTTGTTCCAAGTTTGATGTCGATATCCGACACAAACAGTGGGATGACCCAGAGTACTTTAGAGAAGGACAGGAGGAGGGTGAGAAACACCTTCTTCAGGAGCTGCTACAGTACTTAGTCAGAATTCTTAAAGAGATGCAGTATGGACATGTGGACACTGCAGATGTCTTCATTATCAGCGGCTTGCTGGACCACATCATGCAGGGCAGGTGGGATGCTCCCGCATTGGAGCGTGCAATTCTGAAGCACCTCTATGTGAAGGAGCAGCGTAGCTTACCTCCAGAGCTGAGTAGGTCACCTCAGTATCTGAAGAGTACTTCACCTCAGAATGTAAGAGGTAGACTAAGTGCAATTCAGTATGTAAAGAGTAGTGCAGGTCATGTAAAGAGTAGTTCACCTTAGAGTTAAAAGCCAAGAATGGACCGTGCATTCAAGGAATGCGTCTTGTCCTAACAACACCAGCTAAATCCTTGCTAAACAGTGTGATCATGCTACAATAGCATGAACATGATGGAGGCAACACCAAAAGCTTCGGGATCTACAAATTTGTCCTTCATGCTGTGCATGATAAGAGCACATGAATAGGTCAACATTAAAGCATTCTAATTGATGAATAGTGAGCAAAGTTGACTTACTTGGCTGTACCTCTCAAGACAACTGCTAGGTGGCATCTATGCAATGCACACAATTCAGAATGCACACACAAGAATCTTTGTCAATGCATATATTTCAGCTCCATTTATTCAAGGGAGCTGCATGTTCCTATAGCAAACTACATGTAGCAGAATAAAGCTGGAGAAAATGCTTAAGCAACAAAAACGTGCATCACATTAGGCATATTTAAAGATTTGAAAGCAAACTTGAATCATAATATTTACACATGTACTGCACAGAAACATTTTTTCATTCATTTGATAGTTGAGAAAGCAATTTCTACACCTTAAACGTAACTGGTAAACTAAAGGGAATTCAAAATACACTATGCAAGCAGTTTAACTGCAACAAACTATGTATACCTTACACAGACTTGATCTCAGAAATGCAACAAAAAATCAGCTCACAAGATCTTTAAATTATTATATTATGATATATAAATTTAGGTTTGCTGTCTTCCTTGTAATAAATGCAGAGACTGCGTATAATAACAGTAATTTGAATATTACATAATCTAAGTACACTCAATAATTTGCTAAGTTATTCTCGTGGCTCAAACTACAAGTAGAACTAAAGCAGCAAAATTTCTCTCTGGATTTCTGACTGCAATAATGATTGAAGAAATGATTCAAGCTTAAACTTTGATCTGGAGTCCACTGTATACAATATACTAGTCTGAATTCGATTTCATCTTGAGAGTTCTGTGCCTGTAGAAGTCAATATGTTTGAACTGTAATATCCAACTCAAGCAATTGGACTTATTAATTACCCAAACTTTCAAACTCAAAGGTGCATCATTCTCTAGTCTTCGTCAAGGACTCATTACTTGACGAAGATTGGAGTTGCGGAGTCAAAAATCTGGGTAAATCCAACTTCAGTTTAAACAAGCTTCATAGAATCCAATATGTAGGCTGGAGTTTGCAGAAGTCATGAGATGTTAGAGTGTTCTGAAGTCACGGTCCGATCCACCAAGGGTAGGGATAGGTTGACGACTCATAACCGTCGCTGGATCTGGAATAATTTAACGATGGTTGTAAAAACAGGGACTTGAGCTTCCAGAAGTTCATCTGTGTTGGTAGAAGTCATTACGAAGTCAGATTTTAACTGTGATTTTTCCAACACAGCAGACGTTGAACTTAACACTTCAATGAATGACTCATTCAAGTCCAACTGTTTACACAGAATGGTGTGGTAGAGTGCAGACCTTGGTCAAGTCAATGTCCTTGGTCAAGTCAAGTTTCTTTTGTGTTAGAAATCACAGTTAGAATCTGTCTTCATAAAAGGAAACTTTTTGCGTTTCTTTAACCCTTTTCATTTGGTGAGACCTGCGTAGGCTAACTAGCAATACAAACCTGTCTATAGTGGCCACAAAAAGGTCTGAAGAATTTAAGTAACGGCCACAGTAGATGTGACCCTTACAGGCAAAAATTACCTACATTTGTGTTGTAACTATGACCAATAAAAGACTGAGACTTTCTGTTCCAGATAAGATATTCTTTATTGTTTCCTAGAAACTAAAGTCCACAGATAAAGCTTCAAACAAAAAGGCCACAATGGCCGCCGTACAGAAGTGGCTACAAGACCAGGTTTGACTGTAGTCAGTATGAAAAGGGTTAAAAGTTATTGCAGAGCAGCATATCTAATACACATCGTACAACAACATTCAACAACACATAAAAACACAATACTGTGAACAAACTGAACTGTAGCTGAAAAACTTCTAACACATAAGCAATAGCAAAACGCTTCCATTGGGAACGTTATATGTTTAAGGCAAGATATGTCAAACCAAGGACATTGGAATTGGTCAAACCATCAGCTACTGAGCTGCGACAGATCTGTTACAGGTTACACACTTAGCAGCAAAGCAAAGCAAAGCTCTATTCCATGGACTAAATTCCTATACACGGCACATGTGGCTTGCTGGCATTACAATGTACTTTATATGTAGTATATACAGTGATCATGAGCACTTTCCCTAGTTCCCTATTACAAATGTAGTATTAGAGTTCTTGTATAGTTGGCATGATCGTTTTGCACATACACAATGTGATGTACATGTACTACACAGTGCAAAGCTTTGTCGTACACTGACTCTTTATTTCACTGTATTATATTAAGAGCATCTTTCAACACTGTAGCATACATTACAGTCTATTTAGCTTGCACAAGTTGACAATAAAAAAAAGGCTAAGCCTTAGAATTCTCTGTCGCGTTCAATGTGCACTTGGACATTTAGACATCTATATCCAGATTTACAGAGGCACAGCCCAATTGCCTCAAGACTTTTCCTACAGGAATCTCACAGTCCTTTCTTCTTTAAAATCTAGAATTTATCATAAAAGCACCCAGTTGCAGTTTACAAATGTTTTACAAAATGCCTTTGCCTTACGAATCTGGTTATCAAATCTCAATACATGATACCAAATGGATCACAAAAGCTCCACTAATTCAATAGAATTGCAGTTTGATCAAAGCTTTCTTCACAGCTCACACATCATGAAAATAAGATTTGAGAAGGCCTTAATTGTTCCGTGCTGCACTGAAAGCTTGCCGATCACATTTTTCCTTTTTATTTTAAACTGTAAGTGGTGTGTTTTGTTGATGTACCCTGTAACTCCTTTCGGAAATGCTGAGTTTGTTCTTGGCAACATAACGTGCGTTCCGCAGCACACAATATTATGGCACGGAAAGTTTTTGATTGATATCTGAAATGCTTCAGCTGCTTTCATATGTGGGTTTTTTGCAAGTTTTGAAAAGATAATAGTTGCAACCTTTCAAATTAGCCTTTGCTACAACATCTTTGCTACATCACGAGCCTCCATTGCCACACTGATGTCTTTTAAACTCTTTCTGATTGGCTGTTCCCAAATATCCAACATCTTTACCTACTGCATCCAGTACTTTTCTTAGTCTTATTCACCTTGACATTTCCTCTGGTCACATGATTCAAAGCAACCAATAGGAGCCAATCTTATCACATGACTAGAGCCCACCAATAGCAACACAGTAACTACTCCTTCCAAAAATTGCTCTCCATTTGCCTATAATCTTGAACTTGGTCTGTATAATGTCTCGGCGTTGGCCTGTAAAAATGGGGACGAACAAGTTGCGCTTTAGTTTAACCGTCGTGTTCCATGGATTCAACAGTCCTCCTAAACAACTTCATATATACACAAGGGCATTACTTTACTCAGATCTGTGCGATCAACCACTCACACCCCAGCTGAAGCGGCTTACTTTGCTGGTTGTCGGTGCTTGAGGACGTAGTCTGAGACTAGTGTGTACCCGACGCCTAGCGTCATACAGCCCACCACCATGGACTGGGCGATCACTCGGAACTGCATCAGGAACACGGACGTGGACATCCCCGCTCGCCGGTACTTCCGGTAGTTGACTGCACCGTACATTACTGCCGCCAGAGTGCCTGCCAAGCCTTTGGGAAAGACGAAAAGAAGAAAAATTAAGTGCAAAAAGTGTTGCCTTGTTCAGAAATACACGTATAAAATTTGACAGTAGAGTATACACTTACAGGACCCAAAATAACACCTGCATATGCAGCTTAGTGCAGTTAATCTACGCTGATATCTACCTGCACTGGTCCATACACTGGGTTTATATACAGATGTACTGGTGTGTGTTGATTTGCTGTACTCAACATATATTGACAGTCTACTACCTGTGAAGTTTGATAGAAATAATGGGTGAACCGTTTTTAATATGATCCATACTTCCTAAAAATTCTGTTCTGAGTGGTGCAGGTAAAATTTGGGTGGTGCAGGTAATTTCCAATGTTGTTTTTCGAGCCCTGACATACTACAAATGTGGAGTATCTGTCCATAGATCTCTACTTATATAGCTACTGAGCATGCAATTGTTGTTCTTCAGCAAAATCCATGGACCCCAAGGTGCCTACATGTCCAACGTCACGTACAAAGGCCTTCCCCGGAGCCCAGAATAACTCCCACATCCCCCGACACCAAACACCAGCGCCGAACACTGAGCAAACAACATTCTGTAATTCGATTTCAGGACCGCCTGGTGAGGGAGGAGGCTGGCATTCAAGTGTGAAGTCAGTTTTCACGTTTGGCTCTGACCCAATCACCGAGGTCTGTGTGTGTCCACAGTGGAGACCCATTCATGGCCAATAGCTGGGAAACTCTATTATCGTGGTCGATTTTTTTTCCAGCTAGGGGATATTTGATTATACGCTTGAAACAGCAGACTTTCTGGGGGATAGACTTATTATCAGACCTGCCAATGTTCACCTGAGGCTAAAGAACAAAATTGTCTCAACCCAGTGTCGGCCAGCAACGTACAGCAATATTACTTTAAAGCTATGTAACCATGTATTGCATCATTTCGTATTTTCTTTGAAACAATATCACGTTACAAATGAAATCGTGTGAGGTTTTCAAACCCAAAAGCACACATCCATAACTAGTACTCCCAGATCCAACAAATGCTACACCAAACATGTAAATGTAGCTTAAATTTGTAGTCTGTTTTTACCCTGTATTGAAGCTTACCAATAGGGACCATAGGTTCTTTCATGGACTTCTCCCATAGCTTGCTTCTGTTGGCGTACTCCTGTGCATCTGTGGACGTCATGTTGACTGGTGGCTTCTTCTCTGGAGTAACACATAGAACCACACCACACACATAACAATGTGATATTTCCTTCATGTTTATGAAGGTTAGATATGCAGGTAACAATATTTAAGGACAATTTAAACTCTATTACACTGGATAAATTGCATAGATTATTTGTGGACTATTTTGAGTGACATCTGCCACTCAAATAAACTGACAGAACTGGATTTAAATTTTAGTCACGCTGAAGAAGAGTGATGGATGTCACTCGAAACGTCTGGAAATAATCTCCAAAATTTATCCAGTAGTAGAGTTTGAATTGTCTTTTAGACTTTGAATTGTCTTTTCAAGAATATATTTCCACCATTCACAATTCAAGACCAAAGAACCTCCATATATACCGTGTAGACAATCATTGTATGTCAACCTATTAGTTTTTATGGGGGACTAAAAAGAAATATTGCAAACTGTCTGCTTCAGGCACGTCCAAGGCTACATGATCTGAATACTGGACCCACATCACCTGACCTTGGCAGTGATATAGGTCAGTCTGAGCGCACCAGTCTAGTTTAGCCCACCCCCTGGACAGGGGGGTTCAGACAGGGTCTCTGTGCAGACTGTCACCTCAAGTTCACCTTGAGAAATAATCAGTTCCATAATGGCTTCCTATGGCTTTGCTACATTCTTATCCTAACATTGCCACAGTAGGAGTCACATTCAATGTCCTTACAAACTAAAATGGGATACTGCAATTGCAAAGTAGGTGACAGAATATAAGTATAGCAACTGCATATGCATGATACAAAATTGGACGGACTATATAGCTGAGAGAGACAATGTACAATCTATGCAACTGTACATGTCATATAATTTATAAATGATGCGTCCTCTGATAAAACTGACAGCTATACAGGTCCCAGTATAACAGTACAGCTAAACAAATGGCCTCCAGACTGAACATTAGCTGGTAAAATATGCATCACCATGCAGCAAGATGTGTCTGTCATACAGATATGAAGAAGACTCTATGCTATGACTCTTCAGTATTGCTACCAGGTGCATTATAGATTTCAATGAAGCTACAATTCTCCATCAAATAAGCTTGACAGGCCTGCAGATTACAAGTATAATATATAACAAGTAGAATTTTCTTTTATGTCGTCCAAATCATTGAGCAGGAAACAATATTATTTACGACCTAAACTTGAGTCTACATGATCATATATTGAATCAGATTCTAATAATGGCTGACAACAGTTTGCTGAGAATTGCTCTGCAAACATGTCAATTCAGTTATGTCTAGAATTCGAACGTGGCTTACCATTCTTTCCTGCCATCTTGAAAATGACAATGTCTCCTTGATAAATACAAGTCGTTACAATTACAAAGGGATTATTTTTGCTGTTGCTCAAACGATGAGTGTTGCTCCGTATGATCCCAGGCAATCCGTATGGCTTCCTACCGCGATGGGGCGCTAAATATGTGGCGTCTGCTTTGTGTTTTGAAGCAGGGATCAGAGCGTAGACCTGTGTACGTGACTAGGGGGAGAATGGCCATGTGTTGGGGTAAGATAATCGGGCACTGCCACCACCTGCTGAGTAACAGGGTTGTCTGGGACAACCTCACACCCACTCCGACAGGACGGGAAAGATGTCAACAATGCTGAACTTGGCATTTCAACCAATTGAATCGCTGACTCTGCAAATCTTGGTGTGAAGTAACATCAACATTGGTAGGGGATGTATCAAGCTTGGAGGCTTTGGTACCTAACAACAAAATGGCACAGGCTGTGATGTAAAGTCAAGGTCACGTCTGGGATAGTGTTGTTCCATTTATGAATCTACAAGGGCCAGGAAAATTGTTTACCATATATAAGAGTGGAGGACCAAGAGCAATATTCACACAACGTGAATATATATATGGTTTGCAAGATGACAAAGAAAAGTATTGATATGTTCCCTTAGGAAAAAATGCTCCTGAGACTATGATGCAATCTCCTACTTTGCATTTCACACACGTCTTGAAAACAGCTCTTGCGTCCTACTTGTTTTCTTGGATGTCAGATGCTCATGTTTTACACTCACTAATTACTCGTCTACAAACAAGTTACTCATGTTTTCTGCTCAAATTGCTTTCCTACTAACTTTCCTACTTTATATTAATACTATGATTAAAGATTGGGCTTATGTTTTACACCGGATATGTTTTTCTACACAGTCGATCGATTGTTCTCAGGTAAAATGTCACTGATGATCAATTGTTGAGCATCTTTACTTTTCTTCGGTTGACCGGTGATCATGTGTGACTACACCTGAATAGTGTCTACTGTCTTATGCCCAAATATGGTGCTACAAGGACACGGCAGGTCACTGACCTTACCCTAGAGGCTTCCGTACTGCCCAGTGGGATCAACGTCTCTCACAATACATGAACCCTTTCAGTAAACCAGGGCTCGAAATACTGGGTGCATGTGCACCTTAGTGCACCCAAAATTGGAGTTGTGCACCCAATATTTGTAGGTATTTTTGTACAACTGTATAATAGTATGCAGGATATTGTTGGCATCTAAGTGTCAGAAAAATAATAAAATCTTTGTTGTAGTAATGTTTCAGATTTTGAAGTTTGCTCTCATTTTAGATTCAAGCTCAGAAGAGGAGCAGTAAGATCTGTAATTAGGTTTTGTTTTATATGGTGCACCCAAAAACTTTTTTGTGCACCTATTTTTTTAGGTTGGGAGCACCAGTGCACCTATTCCCAAAAATGAATTTCGAGCCCTGCCTTTCAGAAAACCCACTGGCAAGTCTGCACGTAAGCCACTTGTTTTGCACTGCTGCCACCTGTGGTCCCTAAAAACAGTTCGGGGAAGACCTTACCGTAAATTGTGACTGTCAAATTTGGCTGGCGGCAAATCTGCACGTAGCGCATGTTTTTTACGGGCACCTGCGATCTCAGAAACTGTTCTGGGAAGCCAAAAGGATGTCATGGTCTAAAAAAAAGCAATCATAAAAAGACTGTCTCCATGCAACTTTTGTCCATCCTACTACTGATCGCTGTTGGGGAGTGGGGCACTTGAAAAACTTAGAGGTCCTGGGGATGCTCCCCTGGTTAATTTTGCAAATCCAAACTCTCTGAAACAATATTTTACAATTTTTCAGAAGAAAATTTTCATTGTTGAGTATGTCTTCTACACTTATGAAGACATTTCTTCCATTTTTCAGAAGCAAATTTTCATTGTTGACTATGTCTTCAACACTTACGAAGATATTTCTTCAATTGTTCTTAAGACAAGTTCAGATGTTTTGGATGGAGGGGTGAAATTTTGAGTCCTCCCAACAAGCAAATTTCCAGACTGGTCCTGGAGACACACAGGGGAAAAAATCTGTGTGAATCTGCCTGCTTTGATGAACGCATGTTTAGAATTTAGATCATACATTTACATTACCTCGAGGGCTGGCGTATGACATTTTTGAAGTACGTCAAAGCAGGCCACTTAACATGCGAAGTACACAGTTTTCATACACTACTGCGCATACGCAGGTTTTGTACGTCAGGTTTTTGCCTGTGTGTAAATCGGCTGTTAAGACAGCTGTTAGGGTTGTTGCCCAATTCTGACATAGGGAGACATTATACTGTTTACAGTCTGGCAATCTTACACGATCCTTAGTGATCTTCTGCCCAAGCAGTGCATACTATGCTTGGACGGGATTAAAATTTCCGAATGTCTACATGGTCGTATTTCAGGCGCGTGTTGCCATAGCGATGCCCTTCTCGCTTTGAAAGACATTCGACCTACTGTCGCCGTGCTTCCCACAATCCTTTGCACGCTGAAAAACTTTCGAGTCGGACTGAAACTTTCAAAACAACTCAACATGTGATAATTTTTCTTTCAGGCACTTTGATATCATAACCATTTCTCCCAACTATGTGAAAATATAATAATTACAGTCTTAGCCATTTACATAACTTTATCTTATATAGAGTTGCTAATTATAACTTCAACCACTAGGGCCATATATCTAGGGCATTGGGGAAATTCTGGACAAGTCAGCAAAATGAAAATATCACATTTTTTTCTGCCAGAAATATATGGAAAAGCTCATTTTACTGGTGAATACAACCAGCTGAATTTCTCTCTAAGAAATCTGTTATACAGTATTATCATATAGCCGGACGGCGTGGACCAATCAGAGGCCCGGATACCCGTGCTGTTATTTCCCGATAACAGCACACGTGGTGTTATGGCGGAATAACAGCACATGTCGTGTTATGGCTGATACCATTATGTTATAGGGTATAGGGGCATGCGACTCTTTCTGTAAACCTTTGTAGCATTTTTCTGTCCAATAAACTTTTTTGTTTAGCTTCATTTAAACTACAATTTGCATTAAATGAAATTATCCATATTTGTTTTAAAGCGTATAATATATTCGAATGTATTTTTATGTATGTATATATATTAAAGCTGTTGTATTTCAAACAGGAATTGTGTTGATTGACAGTTTGGATAGGCTATATGATAATAATTTTAATGCACTGCCTTTTCCTCTTTGTATATGGTGTCATAACTGCATGGGCAGCTGCCATAACCACCTCATAAACCACCTCGTTCGCTTCGCTCACACGGTGGTTTATTCGGTGGTTATGGCAGCTGCTCATGCAGTTATGACACCATATACAACTCGGGGCAGTGCATTAACCCTTTATTATACTACATGTATACCTGAACCAGTTGCTGTACTACATATGCTCATTTGCATAAGACACCATGCATGATCGGCATTACGAAAGTAACCTGGTGAAAGAAATCTGGAGAAAATTTAACATTGTTCCATCAAGACCTGTACAAGCGTACCCTATAATTTCTTTCCGCAAAAATGCGTTTTCAATGCTTGTTTTGATGAAATCGGAGCTGTGCTCCTGTAGTCACGTAGGCCACAGACGCGTTCCTACTTGGCATGCCAGACTAGCGGTGCTTTTTTCACCGTTGCAACAGACTACAAACCGTTGAAATACAATGACATCCGTTTACATTGGCTGCAAAGCGAGTATTGTGAAGAAAATGTTGAAAACTCACCGAAAACGGAGGAAAATCGGAGAGGCAGACAGTTTAGCAGGCCTTGCAGACGACACAGTTTCAGTCCAGTGGCTTTGCAAGGCCGCGGCTTACTGCCCTTGGAATATGTGACGCAACTTCCGGTTCGAATCCAAAGGTCAACGACCGGATGGTAACGCATACAAGTGAAAAGGAAATTATATCAGCTTTATGAATATAGCTCAAAAAGGTGAACGAGTTGGAACTTTAAAATTAAATAAAAATTCAATACCTTAGATAAAAGAACTCTAATGCTGTAGATTGTACAAATTTAACTGTTGTAAGAACTGATATCTGTAGTAATTTATTTTAATTTCTTTTTTGTTTCGATGCGTTACATACTGCAGTCATGTTACACGACTGTCAATTGGCTAATTATGATGTAACGTCTAATACTTGACCAATCACCGAGCTTCATTCATCCAACTGCGTATTCGATCCTCGTGACTTCCGGTTACCATTCTTGGGACAACATGGCGGCCAAAATAACAAGAAACGCAAGATTTCGCTAATTTTTAGGGATTTACGGCTAAACCTTGATATTTTCCCCCAAAACTATGGCGCTCCAAAGAAGAGACAAGGATCGAGACTTCATTGCCGAGTTGGCAAACTTACTACGTGAAAATGGTGAGTATAATCACAGTTTTTTGTTTGACTGGCTAGAGTTTTTTTTTCCACCGGTCGGTCATGGGACAGGAAAATGTCGTCATATAATTACTTTACAACTTAATTAACTTTTAAACGTTTAAACGTAGCTTTCAAAGTACAATTTGATGTTAGCTGATTTGCAGTTGAAGAAAATTGATTACATCTATCAAGTTGCAATTGCTGACTGTAAAATGAAGAAGAAGAAAAGAAAAGAACATAAATATTTCTTGAGTAACAAGTTGTTGCACCTAGTACTGCACAAAGATTGGGTGTGTGGATATTATGATTATGACAGTGTTGTATTGTGAAAAGCGTTGAAACAGCACACTAGTATTTTGAGTCCAGACTAGACTAGACAGGCCAGTCTAGTGTGACAAATATGTTGTCTTCACTTGAATGGCCCCTGCTTGTGGAGAGGAGGCGTAGAGCTAGGCTGATCATGTTTTTCAAAATTACAAACAATATCGTAGCCACACAGATGCCTCTTGTCACTAAAGGGCTGTCAACTGCATCACGCACAGAAAACAGTCTTGCCTTCCACCCTCCATTTTTGCGTGCAGACTACCACTTAAACTCATTCTTTCCAAGAACAGTCAGAGACTGGAACAAACTTCCAGAACACATAGTCAAAGCCAAGACCCTACAAGCATTCAAAAATGCCCTAAATAACCTTTAGTCTCCCATTCACAGTACGGGTACTCACCGCTAGTGTACCGACAGGGAGTAGCGCCCCTGCCCATTGAGGAGCTGGGTCCCTCCTCTTACTCACCCCATACAAACTTATAAGAAAGCGACCACCCCTCACTCACCCCCCCCATGTCATGAGCCTTCAACCTAATGAAGTTTGACATGTACTTTGAAGAAAAAGAAGAAGAAGACTTGAAGTCACAAAGCCTTTGTGTCACCAATGACAATAGAATGTTTTCACACCATTCAAAAATATATTGTCATCAGTTTCAGTTCCGGATTGCAAAATCAACAGTCCTTTTTTCAGCAGATACATGCATGTAGAGATGGTAAGATAATATAATTCTTGGTAGTATTTTTGCTAGGTACAGGAAGTATTGTTTTAGGTGGCTGAGCTGTGGGTTTGTGTATCTGTCTGGTCAGGTAGGTTGATAGCACGTGGGTGGGGCCTGGGGAAGGTTGACAGAATGGCAAAACTTCTACTTCTACACGATACTAGGCAACACCCCTCGCGGCGCCTAGTGCTTAGGGGAGTCAAAGGTTTCAGAACTCTGCCCTTAAAAGTTTTGTTGTGTATCTCATTACCTGGATGTCTAACCTTCATCAATGTATCAAGGAAATTGCATACTTCCCAGGAGCCTGAAATCTCTAATTCCTTGTCACTGACGAAACGTAGTGGATGCTACTTGAAACATCTGACCATTTCCAAAATCATATCCAGTTGCTTGAGTAACTGCTTTTTGCCTGGATGTCTAGCCTTCACCAACATCTCTAATTTCTTGTTTATTGAATGATAATTTTGCAGCGGAGGGAATCCTGGATGGCAGCAGTAAGCTGTCCCTGACCACCTCCTCAGTCTGTTACCTGAACGAGTGTTTTGACCGGGTGTGTGAGGGGGACAGGAACCAGGGGTTTGAGGTGGTGCGAGCTCAGGTCACCAACTCCAGGGTCTACAGCGACATACAGCTGCTCTTTGATCTGGTGCAGAAAACTCTCTCACTCAAGGTAGGAAAAACTTACAATGCTAAAGTCTAAACACTGTAATTAGATGTGCATAGGCTAGGAGGAACAAGTCGTTTGGCACGATATAGCCGACTGCTGCCACGCCGAGTGCTTTGCGGCGCAGTGCAAAGCTAGTGTGTTGTGCCAAGGGCAGTTGTTAGTAAATTGGCTATACAGAAACAGAAGCTGGTGTGTTATGCCAAAGGGTAGTTGTACTGTCTATACAGATACAGATGAAGATTTAACATCTGGCTTTTAATTCCTTAACTCCTTTCCTGCTCATCAGTGTTATATTAAAGCAGGGAGAAGGTTAAGTTTCTGTTTTGGACTAGAAGGTTTCAAAACTTAACCTCTCTCCAAAGTGGAAATGTAGCCAATGGGCATGTTTTTCTTTAAATTCATTTCAAGCCTAATTCAACATGTATTGGATTTGATAAATTACATCCGATAATTGATTTTCTTTGTTGTTGTTTCTCCCAGTTGGTCCTAAGTTCCACGACCCTCCAAGGCGGTGTGCGTGTGGCTCGGTTCCGGTCGCTTACGACGCTGGAGATCAAGCGTGTGCCGATCCACCTGGTGGTCGGGCTGCAGGTGCTGAGGTCGCAGCTGCAGGTCATCATCTGTTCCAGGTGCATCACCAGGCTACAGGTGAGACTGGGCAGAACCTTTTCTTTTCATTACATCAACTTTTGTACAATATTAGCAGCTGGAGTGATCAGGTAGACAAAACACTGTCAGTGTGTGCTGAGGACAGTATTAACTTCACAGTTGATGGTCATGCCGTCATGGTATCTGTTTCCTCTTGAAGTTTCATCCATAGTCCCGCCATATTGTTGGAAGGAATGTTCTCCTATGTATGACAGTGTGAGAGTCATGGATTTGGAATAACATGTCTAAAACTCTAAATAAAACAAAATACTGTGAAAAACAGTTAAAGAAAATGTAAATAAATAGACAAAACTCTTGTGGCATCTTGTAATATGAATTTAAATCATGAAACTTTTGCCTGGTCTTGTTTTCACAGAGTGACCTACATCGTATCCACTGCAATTTCATGACTCCACAAATATGTCTTCCTTTTTCAAATTTTAAAACTTTGATATTGTATTGCCTGCCCCCAGGATGTGTTTGCCACCTGTGGAGGAGACAGCAGCCTGCCCCTGTCCTGGCCGGAGCTTCACACAGTCATCATGAGTTACAACAGTCTGGAGAGGCTCGACGACTCACTGGTGGGTACAATAAAACTCAGACTTTGTCTAATACTAGTAGTTTGCATGTATCAGTCTGCAAGAATTCTAGGAATTGTACAGGACTTTTTGGTGGAATGCATAATGAACAACAGTTTGGAGAGGCTTGACGACTCACTGGTGGGTACAGCAAACCCCAGACCTTGCCTGCTTTTTGGCAATGCCTCTGGGGCATGCCTAATAGTATGTAATCAGTCTGCAAGAATTCTAGGAATTGTACTATACTTTTTGTTGGAATGTCTGGAATGTCCTAGTATTTTTGGTGATGGCTCATGGACAAATAGTAATATTATGTATTAGTTCCTTTGTATCAGTCTTACATTTTGTAGATAATTCCAATAGTACATACATGTAGTTATAATGTACAGTAATATGCTGTTACGAGTTACAACATGTGCTTTTCCTTTTTTTTCAGAGGTTACTGCAACAAGTTACGGTTCTAGATTTGAGTCATAACAGCATCAAGGTCACAGGGAAACATTTAGAGGTCAGGAGACAACTGTGTCCTTTCTGTTATTTCTGTAAAAGTGTAATGCACAGTTTGCAAAGAGAAAATAAATCATAGAACTGTCTTTTGCAGTGTGTCAACAACACAGAAAAAATATCCTGATATAGCATGTAATGAAAATCCCCTTTTGTAAGTAACAGTGTACATGTTAAAAGCAATGAAGAGCTCAAATATGAAGGAATGCTCTAGTGATAATGTCATGCAATTGATGCAAACATTCTCTGTGGTATTGTTGGAGCTTGCCTTGAAGTTGTAGACAAAATACTTCTTTTGGCTCTTTAGGCCACACCAATTTAATTTGTTGGTTCTCGGATTCGCCTCTTCATTTTTTCCTGATTTGCAAAAAAAAAAAAATTTCAGAATCAACTGCAAAATGCTCATATTTTGCCCTGAACAGTTGAAAACAGTCCTTTTCTTCCTAGTCGTTACAGTTATTCCATCTTTCAATGCAGTGGTATCATTAGAAGTTCAAAATTCATTGTTTAAATTTTGTACCAGCCTTTTGTGTTGACTTCATACCTCCTATTGTAGCATTTGGGGCTATAATAGGATGCCTAGATCTGTTTTTTTTCGCCCTGTCGCTTCATATTTTTCCTGAAAAAATCCGAGAACCAACAAATTAAATTGGTGTGGCCTTAGCATGATTAGATCTGTAATTGCTGACTACTGTTTTATATTTCTCCCCAGTATCTGCTAAATCTCACCCACATGTAAACATATTATGTCTGTAAATATGTTGTACCATGGTGGAAACACACTACTAATGAACAGTTATACGGTTCGCTACCAAATGTAACTTCAGTAGTCAAATGTCGACGACTAAGCTTGGCCGGTCATGTAATACGTAGTGAAGAACCAGCCAGTAGGCTTCTACTCTGGAACCCTGATACCTGTAAGAGAAGAGTTGGACGCCCAAACATAACAGTTAAGAAACTTATTGAAACTGAAACTGGCTTGGAGGGACATGAACTTTTCTCAGTGATGTATGACAGACAGTTGTGGCGAACTAACTTTGTATGCTCCACCTCTACGGAGGATGAATGATGATGATGATGATGAAATATGTTGTATATTATATATATTTCTCCGCAGTATCTCCCAAGCCTGACCCACCTGAACCTGGGGTATAACCAGCTGGAGGCCGTCCCCACCCTCAGTCTCACAGCCAGGACTAAACTCCAGTCTCTCATCCTCAAGAACAACAACCTCGATAACATCGAAGGTAAAAAAAAAAACATTCAGTATGATTGAACTTTTGATATTGACCAATTTAATTTGAGTTCAGTACTTGAAACTGAAAAGAGATTCAGAAGCAGAACATAGTAAGGTACCATAGAGAAGAAAACAGTCACTCATTCTTGTATACATTACCTGGATGTCTAACATTTTTTTACGTAAGATGCCATCTTATTTAGACTGCCATCTTATTTTAGATTTGAACAAATGAATATCATTCATCGATTGATATAATAAAAGGAATATGGGCTTGATGAAGTGGATAGAAGTTGAAGATATTCTCTTTTTTTTAGGAAGTATCAATATATTCTTAATAATAAGTATCAATGTATTCTTAATTTTGCTGTGCTTTAATTTACATCTCTAAAAGGTACTGGCAAAAAAACTGTGTTTGGGTTCATGTACAAATGTATAAAATGACTGTTTCAGGTGTGGAGTCATTTCAGAAGGTGCATGAACTGGACCTGTCTAACAACTGTCTGTATGACCACAGCATGCTGGAACCACTGAGCTTCCTCAACTTCCTACACATGGTGAGGTTTAACTCTACATGAGAAGTAACTTAAGAGTGTATATTTGTTTGTTATTGTAAGAAGAATGTGGTTTTGTCACATAGTTACTGGTAGATTCATTCTAGTAGCTAGTCTCTAGAAATAGAATTGATCTAACATGGCAGGCTCAACATGTATACAGCAAGTCACTGACCAAAGCGCATTGAAACTAAGCAGCAAATACGGAATACAGAAGTCTTGTTATTTTAATGTTATTAAATAGTATCATGTATATTAATGATTCTTGGTGTTCAGATCATGTATAGTATTAGTGCTGCAAGTCAGAATAACATTGGGTGGTTATAGAAAATGATCTAATAAAAGATGACAGAAAGAAAGTAGAGTAAATCAGAGGATCCTTAATTTTTCTGTGGTAAGAGTATATTTTGAACTCAGTTGATGATGTATTGTACATGTATGTACTATTTTGCAGTTGTCCCTATATGGGAACCCGCTGTCCTTCCACCCTGCACACAGACAACAGACAGTCAGACATCTCTCTCCTATCACAGGCATGCAGGAGGTAAGGTGATAAACCGATTCTTGTGATGGTTTTTAACATGACTAGTTGTCCTGGGAGGGTTATTCGGTATCTTTGGAAGACTCGGTCTTTTTCTGACGAAACAAAATTCATATATAATATCATGTCATAATTCATAGTATATAATAATTTGATATAGATTGTTGTTCTCAAACAGAGAAAGCTTGTATTCTAGAATTTACAAAAGAAATGTCTCTTTTGTTCCAGCTGATTTTGGATGGCAAGAAGCTCACCAAAGAAGAGATAACTGTAAGTGATCTTTACCATTTTCAAAAATGGCAAACTATTTCCTGAATGCAGGTTAATGTACCCCTTTCAACAGATTTGGAATGGCTAAGATTTTCAGTCATGGACAATGGTTTTGTTTTGACGTGTTGGATTTTTCTTGTTTCTACTGAATGTTGTCCATTTTTGTCTCCAGACCGAATGTAACATGTCGTCCTGCACATGCTGGATATTTTGTTAAAAAGATCAACTTTTACAAGTTAATGGGGCAGTCATATTGTGATGAAATAAATGAATAAATCCTTCCATGCCCTCAGCTCCTACCTAAGCGTACCATCCCTGGCGACCAGACCGAAGTCCGGTACGCCTCCCGTGTCTACACCGCGGACTCGGATGTCTCAGAGCTGGAAACGTCCACCTCCCTGACCTGGCCCAAGGCTCAGAGGAGCAGGAAATCAGGAAGGAAAGTCAGGAACGCGGCGATCTCAGACACAGAGGGTGAAGTTACCTCTCAAGAAAACTCACGGGGTAAAGGACTATGGGTGCTTATTTAGTGTTTAAGAGATAAGATATGGAACCAAATGGTCATAACAATACATCAAATAGAGTTATTAATAATAACACTATTGCTCATCATTTTGGATCCCCATTAATAAAAACATGTCATATTCACTAGTTACGTAAAGTCTTCCTGGAGTCCTTGACTGAACTAAGACAGAATTCACCAAGAGCTTAGAGGTCTGAATCCCACGTTCTTAAATGTGTCAAAAAGAAATCTGTTGTTTGTGTATTTTGTTCATTTAAGACCTAAAGCAGTAAAGTGTTCTTGATAATGGATGAATTTACATTTTTTATGTACATATAAACAACACTAGAAAAAGCCTTCCCCTGCAAATGTTCAGCAAAGTTGGATAACCCATGCCTCTGCCCCCCTCCCCACCACTACCCCCCTCCCCACCCCAATAAGCCTGTACCCCTGCTCCTCTAGATGATCTGGACCAGACCAGAGAAGAGATGGAAGCGATGAGAGAACAACTGGGCCCTGATTGGCTAATAGCCAGCCAGCTACCAACCAGAAGTACAGAGACAAATGCAACATCCAATCAGGTGTGTTCTTACAGTTTGTTCCTTGCACTTGAAAATCTGCACATCATTTCAGAAGACAACCAATCAGCTTCTCCCTTACAAGATGTTCCTGATCAAGATGTTTTCATCATCTGCACTGATTGGTCAACCATACAAAACACTGTTTACCATCAACCTATCACATTACATCATACACAACCATGTCATTTACCACATTGTCTTGTACTAATGTATGCTTCAAGTTGTTCATTTTGATGAAAGCTACATTTCCAGAGCTTTCCTGGTTACTAACATTGCTGGTGCTGTTATAAGTAGTCTCGGTGGATTCATTCCTCAAGCTAACCAACATCTTTCACACCGCAGTCGTCCCTCAGTAAGACATCTAGAGCCACATAGTTCCTGTTTAGAACTTTTATTCTGCCTGACACAACTCCTAAACTAGTATACGGCTCCAGATGTCTTACTAAGAGATGACTGCAGTGTGCTAGAAGTCGGTTAGCTTGAGGAATGAATCCCCTCTACTTTATAACATTTGTGGTGATCTTTGTCTGAGTCTACATGCTTCTTCCTATCTCTCCCCTCCTGTCTCATGTGTTCAGATGTCTGAAGCTGTTCCTCCCAGCACTGCAAAGACAGTGACAACTGCACAGGTTAGCCAAAACAAAACTGTAGAAATAACTTTTCTAGATGACAATTTAGATGATTTCTTTGAAATAAATAGTAGGCTGGTTAACTCTAAATCAACCAGAAAATTATCCCCAAATTGGTAATCTTTAATTGATCATGGTTTAAGAATAACAAAACTCAAACAGAAATCAAAAGGTTGTACTATGTAATAATTTCTTAATCAATCAGTTATCAATTATCAGTAGTCAATTATCCACTGTAAGAAATTTTGATTTAAATAAGTGATTTGTTGGAAAATTGCACTCTAAAAATTTACTTTCCAAGACTTGATAGTGATCTGTTTTAAAAATCTAAGAAAAAAATTTTGCAGAATACAAGCATGTGCCTAACTGTAGTCAAATTTATGTCCCAAAATCTAGAAATTGTCTCACATATAACGTGAGACAAGAAAGTGCTTGTCGTTTCTTTTGCAAACTAACCCTTGATGTTCCCTGCTCCGTTGCTCTCTCCCCTGCCCTCTTCTGACAAACAGATACACGTGTCCAGTGAGGATATCTCACCTGAGAGTGTGCCATCCAAACAGGTCAGCATAGGGCACGAGATTTGCAACAGTTCTTAACATATCCTGACATTAAAAGAATGTTGTTGATGTACTTGTTTGTTCTTGTTACATTTTTGTTAACCTTCACAGAAGGAAAACATTGTTTTGCTCTGTTTCATCTTCTATTCCAAACAAATGAGGTCAATGACCTTGAACAGATGTCTGTCACCATGGTAACTGGTGCTGTAGCAGACATCCTGTGGTGTTGTGTTACATCATGTAGCATTAGTTGGAGGGGCTGATCACCATATATACATTTGTATACATGTATATGGATTTGTTTGAGTAAAGATTAAACAGAGCAGTAGTTTGTTAAAAGCTAGACCATGCTCTTGTGAAGGTAAACATGCGTGTGCATGTCGCTTTGTAAATATTACCTTTCTTGTGTTATATCTATTTTATCAAAACTTATGCTGCCTTTTAGCCCAGTGAAGTCGAGGAGTCGACCGACATTTATGGTGCAGGGGCTAACAGCAGCAGCTCCGCGGGGCAGACCCTCAGCAGACAAGTCAGCAGAGATGTCTTCGGAGTTCAGCAGGACAGAATACGCAGATACAGCGAACAGTCCAATGACAGTATGTAAATGCCCTCATATGTACCAAGGACTAGCAGGCTGTGGAACTCCTTACCAGCCTCGGTTTTCCCTGACAGTCCTAACATGACTAAGTTCAAGACTGCAGTAAACAGATTCTTGTTGAATTCCTCTTAGAGATTTTCTACTTTTTGACAATAATGTACCATGTAATTATGTATTATGTATAATGTATTTGATAAGGGTATGTATGTGTAATCAAGCGAGGGGAATTGATGTGACATATTGAACCAAAGATCATTGTTATACGATGTTAAGATCAGGTTCACTCTGCACTGATTAGAAAAAAAAAATACTGCTTTGTTGTTCCACTCGAGTTTAACACAATGAAAGACTTATGCCAGACCTTATTGTTTTTGTGATAAGTTTTATTCTTATCACAAAAAAACAGTCTATTTTGTACTACTATGTCCTGGATAGTTGTAGCCATACATTGTACCATGTACAATTGACAAGGACTGGAGTATGTATTCAAACTTGCTTCATACATAATGATAACATTTCTTTTTCAATACATAGGCCACTCAGAGAGCCAACCGTTCCTGGTCACACATAGAGATGGCAATGACAGCGGGTATTTTTTCGTCATCGTCAGAGAAAAGTTTGTGGTAGAAAAAGACTTGGACGGCAGAATTATGGACAAACTGGAGACCAGCTGTCTCAAAACCGTGGAGAGGGGTCAGGGGGTCAACCAAGAGGATGATGGGTAGGTTTTACATTACGTGAATTGTAAAGAGCACATCTTATTGTAAAGAAAAGGTACTGCACCTGTGTGAAACCTAAATTTTTCACAGTTTTCATTGGATGTTTGGTCAACGTTGCATGAGAATTTTGTCTGTTGTAGACGATATATCGATATACTGTTCCAACACAACATTTGGAAGTAAATGTTTAAAGTTAAAACTTTTGGTCCAACACAAAAAATTCTCTCACCTAGAGCTTTCAACCAGTCACTCTGGTCTTCCTCAGTAGACTGACCCAGTGAAGCTTTGGAAATATAGATGGCTGGGATGTCATCCCTAAATACACAAATACTTTAAATGAGACAATGTTAAAACATCTTTTGTATTGATGTCATCTACAATGATACAGCTAATTATAACAACTCCCATCAAACTTATGTGTACATCTGCTTTGCCTTTGTTGTTGCAGTCAGTATCCTGTGGTGTCCTTGGTGTTTGACTACGTGAGAAAAGACAGACAGAAGCGGGAATACGTCCTAATAGATGACGACCCAGAACAGAGCTGCCAGGTACTCTGATGATGTCTCCATGTTTTACAGTCTATTGTGTCTTTGTTTTTGTTTTGATGAACAACATTTTAAGTGTTACTCAACTGCAATGAATAAAATATGTTATTACTGACAGAACTGATAATAGAAGTAGCAAGTTTTGTCCTGTCTGACTTGAAAAGTTTGGTTCCACTTTTTGTATGTTTCTGTTGTAGGTTCTACTGGGTTTGTTAGAACCCATTGTGGAGACCAACCAGAGTCTGACTCTCACCAAGCAGTACCAGGTCAGTTACTTTATAATTGTAAATTAAAGGCAGCAAACATCAAAGATAGGGATACATGTGCTGGTTACCACCTAACTGTATTGTGTATTTTAGCTGACTGTGTTTGTATATGACTTGAACACACATAACTGTTGCAATGTTCCTACAATTGTTACTAGAAAAGTTTGTATCTACAACAATATCTAACCTTTGATTTCTAGAAAAATGAAGCCAGTTCCTTCTGTATCATTCCAGTGCCTTAAATGCTCCAGCAAGTTCAGTCAAGGTCAAGCCAAGGTCATAGTGCTGACCAAAGACGACAGCGTGGAGGAGGTGACCGTCTGTCCGTCCTGTCAAAGTCACATGATCGTTCAGCTGGACAGCCAACCAGCATTCAGCTCTTCTGTGCCTGGGTCCAGGCCTGCGTATGGTACGGCTGGTCCCATTGGTGGAACAGAGGAGGGGCAGAGGTCAAGGTCAGGGTCGTCCGTGGTCGGGTCGCTGTCATCGTTTGACAGAGGGTCGCCTGCCGCGACCTCATCGCCATGGAAACAGGGCAGGTAGGTGAAGGGTCACCACGCTGCATGACTACTACTAGATTATTGCATCCATGCATTTTGATGCACATAAAAATAGTGCTGAACAGACTACCCCTTGAAAAGACAATTCAGTGCTAAACACTAAGTTGTAAAAGATTCTTAAAAAGATGCTACCGGCACAATACCAATAATCTCCCAAGGATGAAACATTTTTGCTGTATCCCTTACGGTATGTATGTATTTGCTGAAACTTCTGGAAAAATTTCAAAGTTTAACAGTCAAACATTCAGAAACTTATGTCGGAGAAATTTGATTTACATGGAGTTTCATTTGATGCACCAACAAGCATTTGAGGTGTGAGACTTTAGTGTGTGTATTTCTAACCTTCACCCTATGACGATACTTTGTACATATAGGAAGTCACCACAAGAAGAGCCGGACTCGTCTGACTATGGCACCTCCGAGAACACCCCCACCACCACACCCCACAAGTCCTCCAACAAAGATACTCCCTCCTCAGATAATCTCCAGGGCTCTTCCACAAGTGAAAGCACCCTGGTTGATGTCAGCAGGACAGAAATACCGGAGGCAGATCTATCAACTAAACTGAAAAACTCCCAGGACAAGACATCAACTGTAACAGGAGACTCACAATCCTCTCCGAAGAAGTCTGAACAAAGTGTTAATTTTGACGACTCTAACGATTCAGTGATAGTCAGGAGAAAGTCGAGAAGTGGGAAGTCAAAAAAGGGCTCAAAAGCTAAAGTTGTGGAAATAGGGGAGACTGAGAAATCGAAGAAGTCAGACAAACTAAAACTTTCAGTGCAAGAAAGTGCCTCACATGAGACTGATGTGAACATGTTGGAAGCAAGGCACAACACAGAGGCTGTATCAAAGAGAGCCTTATCAACTGAAGGTACAAAGGAAAGACTTTCTCCAACAGCAAAGGTAAAACACAACAACAGAGACGCTAGTCCCAAAAGTCCTGCGTCCTCCCACAAACTGTTACAGAACCGCAAACGTAACGACAGCTTTACAGTGCTAAGTGAGGATTCCACTGTAGACTTCAACACTGCAAACGAAGATCAACAGAATGTGGAACGAACGGATTCTCCTATTCAAGAAGATGGCCCAGTCTTAAACGGGGATGCAGAGAATGAAGAGATAAGCGTCAGACCAAAGAGACAGGACAGTGTGTACAGTGAGATTGCTGTTCTTTCAACTGATGATTCAAACACTGAAAACCCCACCGAAAGAAACAGGGCAGAAGATTCAGGTGCAGTAGTTTCAGACATGCAGTCTGCTGGTGACCAAAAAGACGTTTCAGATATCTATAGTAGACAGGTTTCACGTGATATGGCCACTAGCCCTCTCACTGGGAGCACGTGCACAAGCATGGTGGCCAGCATGTACGAGAGTGCAATATCAGAAAACGGAGAGGAACAAACTAGGGAGAGTTCGGAAACAGTCAATATCAGTTTGTCTGAAGTGGAACAAACCGATGTTGGTAGCAAGAAAACTTCTGATTCTGAAACTGCTTTGAGGAACAGAAGAACGACCAACGGGGAAGAAGAAAACCCGGATATTTACAGCTCAAATTTTCTTGGATCCTCCGCACCAAGCACTTCTAGAAATACATCGTTGGACAAGCTGTTTTCAGAACTGGATCCGTCGAGAAGAAGGGAGACAAAGAAGGAGCCAGAAACAGGGATAAAGTTTTACACAGAAGACTTCACCCTCGTGGACCACAGGATGAAACTGTTCCTCACCATGTCTGTGTTTGGGGAAGACGAGGAATTCGAGTGTCTCATCAAGGTATGAATGAAACTTCAATCACGACAGAGTTCTTCTTTACCATGTAATATTGTCTTACCAGTTTTTAGAATCATAAACTTGAAGACAGTAGAGTGAATTCTTGTGCCCTTGGGAAAGGCACTTTACACGACTTTCCCCACTTGGGACCCACTAGACTCAAGTGAAAATGAGTATTGTCTGTCCAGTATTCGTTTCTATGTGCGGGACACAACACCAGCAACAGCTGCCTCTGTTCCGCGTGTATTGCACTGTTGCAATTTCAACAAATCAAATCAAATCAATTCATTCCTCAGCTGACATCTATCACACTGCAGTTGTCCCTCAATAAAACGGTGACAGGCTGAATATAAGTTCTAAACGGGAACTATGCGGCTCCGGGTGTCTTACTGAGGGTGCTATAGATGTCAGTTACCTTGAGGAATAAATCCACTCTATATCTACTTGATGCTGTCTTAGTTTTTAGAAATTTGAAATGGAAGTACGTCGATGAAGGTTAGACATCCAGGTAATACGATACGCCAAAAAACAGTTACTCAAGCAACTGGATATGATTTTGAAAACGTCAAAATTTTGACGTTTTCAAAATCATATCCAGTTGCTTGAGTAACTGTTTTTTGGTGAAATGGAAGTAATTTCTGTACACTTGAAAGTGTTGAAATTAATTTTTATAAATCATATCATTTAATTTACATGTATCTGTCTACACAAGTTGGTCTTAATTCATTTGTCAATTTCTCCTGTGCAGGCCCCCGTGGTGCAATATGGGAAGCCCCAAGAGAAACCTGCAGTACTGGTGTCGTCTGATAGGAGCGTTTATGTACTCAAGATCACAGGGCAAGAGAGGTGAGTTCTGTCAGGAAATTTCCATTTTGGGGTCTTTAGGATCTACCTTTGGGATCTATCTTTTAGGATCTTGGGAATCTATCTTTTAGGATATTTGGGATCTATCTGTGGGATCTGTCTGTCTATGAATTTTGACTTATTCTGTAGAGAAATTGTTCTACCAGAAAAGATTCATTTTTTAGGTTTTTGTTTTGATCACTTGTTAAGATACTTTGTGATTGGTTGTTCCAACCACAATATGTGTAAGTCTATGCTATTTGCCAAGTGAACACTGATTGGCTACAATTTTTTAAAACTTTCAGTGAGGTGCCATCTGATTGGCTGCAGACTCTGGCTCGTCACCCAATCACAGAGCTCCATTACATCGACATCGGTCTTGGCAGCCAGAGTTTCCGACTGGAGTTTTCAGGCCACGGCGGCTGCTACACTTTCCTGGTCAGGGATAGCGAACGCTGCCGCAGGTTTCTCAGGGTCTTCACTGGTAAGAGACATCTGTTTTATTTGTTTTACCTTTAGAAGACTAATCATATAGCTTTCTAACTATTAAATGACAAAACAC